TCAAACCATGATCTCCTCCGCGCCGTCGTCGCAGCTCTGGGGTGCAATGCACTTGCACCGACCGTTCCTCAGGCGGTCGAACACGCAGGTGGCACCTGGACGAAGCGTGGCACCAAAAAGGCCAAGCGTGCAACTTCAAAGCGTAATCACTTTTGCACCAAGCGTTACATTCTGGCGAAACCCCCGACGGAGGCACATGTTTGGAATCTTTTTCAAGATGTGGACACGAAGGGACGCCATACCCGAAGGATCTTGGCTCCGTGGCCCGAGTGCAAGGGCTTCAAGTGTCTGCCAATTCCAAATGACCAGTGCCCAAAATCTGTTGACTTTGGATTCTGCCGACATGAACATAGGTTTGCATACGGATTTCTAGAGTCCCAATTTTCAAAACAAGCAGTGGGACCACTTGCAGGTGCAGCGGGCCTCAACACGGAGTTCGGCGTTCTCCAAAAAGGCTACCCTTCGCCCAGCAACAGGAACTACGAAAACCCTCACAAGTCACTTGCTACCCTAGGTCCTCCAGTAAAGAGGTTAGAATAACTGTACCCATTTTCCTTGGCTGGAATCAGGACCCCAGCAAAAAAACATCGTTTTTGCCTGGTTAGTGGAAAATAAAGGGAACCCCAAAAAAGCAAAAAAGCAAAAAGGGGAGCTAATTCTGGGGAAGTTTCCTGTAGTCTATTGTAGTAGGGGAACCCTGCCCAAAAAAAAACGGCACCTAGCTGGGGGACCTAGTACCGTTCTTGTTTTGGGGAGGGTTTGGCTTTTTCGGCCGAGGCGTCTCCAGGCGCGCGATGAAGGGGTTGGCGGGGAAGCCGGAGGGCATGGCCAGCAGCGGGCAGCTGGCCACCGGGCAGGGCTCCGAAGTGGGAGGCCTCCGAATGCGGGGGGTGGGGGCTGGGAATCTTGGGTAACATTGCCACTGGCACAAACCAGACAACTATGATGATATGGACTTATACAATGAACACATATCGGTTGGCCAAACTCCTCGCAAGGTCCTGGTGATCTCAGGAGGAATCTATGTGACGATTGTACGACAAAACTCCTTCCACTATGCGCAATCGAGGGTTGACTTGTTCTGTTGATCTCTGGGAATCAATCATTAGGCCCTTTCTTCGCCCTACAACGAGCAGCAAACAAGCTTGAATCTCGGTAACCCTGCGAAGCTTGGGGCGAAGCAGGACCATGGCCCCCAACTGTTGATGCATATTCCCGCTTGAATTGATGGAGCCTCTGGAAAAATGGACCCTCCTTTCAGGGACTACGACTGTCTGCAAGGTGTGCGTCCTGCTCCAGCCCTTCTTTGATGGGTGTCCTCTTGCCTTCCTTCAAGGACCATTCAAAGGGGTCCTTCAATTTGACAGCACCAGGCTCTAGCATCCCACAAAAAGAATGGCTCCTCGCCAAACAATGTTGGCTATGTAGGCATGATGAGAGTCAGGCTTTTGCATGACCAGTTGAGACTTGGCCGGGGTGTCCCGATTTTGCCGGTTGTCTTGCAGGATTTCATGCCATGCCTCTAACTTAACAGCTTCCTTCCTGAGACATGGCAAGCTCTCCGACCCATGGAACCACGGGAACAGGATAGAAAGTCTCCCCTCCGGCCTAGATTGCTCCTACAACACAAAGCAACAAACAAACACCACAGTTTGAAGCTGGTGATTCGTAACCCAAAAGGCGACCCAGACGGTCGGCCTTCCCGGCGCGCCTCTGGTCGCAGCAGTCCCCTTGCCAGGCGTAGCGAATGGCGTAGGCCTGGCCCGTCTTGGACAGGTCCAGCACCAAGGAGCTGGGGCCCGCCTGCCGCGCCGCTCGCGGGTTCACGAGAGAGCGACATCCTCAAAATCCACCTCCACATCTCGGTCCAGTAGAGAGGATAGATTAAGGGTACCCTGTTCCTGTTTTCTGTAGTCTGTTTTAGTAGGGGGAACCCTCCCCAAAAAAAGGGTAAAAGAACACTACTGGGGGACCTAGACATGGTGAGAACCCAAACACTAGTACCGGCAAAAACTGATAGGGGACTACCCATACCATGAGAGCCTGCAAAACCGATGGGTGAATTGGCCAAAGCGGCAATTTCTTTGCTCATTTGTCAATTATCCTCGAGGTCTTTGGTTGTTTGACATCGAACCTACAACACCGCTCGAGGAATCTGCTTTTGGGGACTTTCTGGGTCCTCCCATCCATGGGTCTCGCCTGGTTTAACAACAAATTTGGAACATCCCGCTCCCGGGTTGCATCCTTTGTTTAAACATGCTTAAACCACTATTGTTTAATGAACATCCTTTCGGTTTCCCGTGAAAGGGGACTGTTTGGTTGTGTAAACAACATCTGCCGAACCCCCTGCGCCCACCTTCCGAATGTCCACTGGGACCCAGGTCTTCTGGTCATCAAAAGGCCCGAAGCCGCCAGAGCGCCCCGTGCCATCGTCGATGCATTGCTCCAGCTTTCCTCAGTCAAAGACTGCCAGTGTCTAAGTGGCCCCCAAACAACCCCTCCCATTTAGCCCGAGTTGACCTCTGGCTTAGCCTCCTGTAAACCAAAAATGGTGAACCCAAAACCATGTAAAGGATCAAGAAGGCGGCCGCACCTATTGCTGGTTGGGATCGTCCCGTACTAACCTTCATCTACCCGGGTTTTGTTTGTGGCTCAGGTAGACTCCTGGGCCATCATTTCGGAAGCGACATACACGCGGTGCGCATGGCTCGTTCTGTTCAGGAAGGCAAGGCCAAACCAAAGCAACCCCTGACAAAAAGTGACCGGGAGCCAAGGTGCCGGGATGGTGGCCTCAAGAAGAACTTGATTTCATCGAAAACCTCGAAGAAATCCAGAACATAGAACAAGAAGGTAAATTGTGCCTGGAAACTGCTACCCGAAAGCTACTACCCAGGGCTTCCACCCGTAGTTAGTGCGCGTCTTCAGGATAGGATGTTCGCAGGGTCATGGTTTCTGTCGAGTATCGTGCAATGCGTATCAAACCTCCACGTTTATGTGTTGATGCCGGTCGACTGGAAATAATGGTGCAAATCAAGGTATCAACCTCCACGTTTATGTCTTTATGCCGGTCCACTGGACATAGTGGTGCAAATCAAGGATGTTGCTAGGACGACCACTAAGTGCAAGTGCACAACATATATATATATATACATTGTGTGTACAGATATATACTGTCAAGCATACATGTTGATATTGATGCCATCCGGCGACAAACATACCTTGCTGTGTCTGTCTTCAATGCATCGCTCCTTTGCCACCTTTGCTAGGTGCCAAAATTATCAGAGGAACCGGGTACGGTGTGGAGTCTTGAATGACCCTGACAATGAACACACACCACAAGTTCGTGACAAACATTCTGCATGCCCCAGAACACGACTAGGCTTCTCCGCTTCAAATTGCCAAGGAACCTCAGTATGGCCCCCCCCCCAACAAAAAAATAAGAAAGAAACCAATCACGAATCCTGTCAACAAAATCGAAGCATGTGTCGCTTGTTTTGTGGGTTTCATGTCCATTTGCCGAGGCATTGACCCCACGTGCCAAGCTTCGGCCGGCAGTCTGGATGCAAAAGAGGGACTTGTTGACCAGAACTTCCAAGCGGCTGGAACCGAGCTTCCTCAGAATTTACAGGTTGCATGTAGCTAACTAGATCCAAGGAAACCATAGCCCACCCAACACCCACCAACCCACGAGAACTTTCAGGGGCTCACCCAACAGCGATACCCTGGCAACGTTGGGATGACAACAGTTCACCAACCTGGGCTCCCGACAATTTCGGGGGGGGAGAAAAAAAAAACAGAATCCGGTGAGGTCGCAATTTGCCCAAATGGGTGGCCCGTCATTCTTTAGGAATCGGGCACACCTCAATTGGTGGTTTTCCTCTTGGTTTCTATTTGTACCATCAAAAGAGGGGTACCCTCCCGAAAATATAACCCCTATCATCAAGCCCTTAAGGATTAGCTGCCAAGTTCCGACTCAAGTGTTGGACATCCGAGGGAAACCAACATGGCCATGGCTACTGGAGCCCTTGGACTGGAGCCCGGTGAACTCTTGCGAAAAGGCACGAACAGGGAATGGGGACAGTGGAGTATTGCTGGTGGTGCCAAGGATGGTGGGCCCGAAACCATAATTTCCCCAATCTGGCGGAAGGTTTCCCCGTGGCAGTGCCGATCTGCCCATGCTCGTGTCAGTGCCCGTTCCACGTAGTTTGGTTGCGCCAAACTGACACCCCCATGTTATGTTCACAAGCAAAATCTACAAGCTGGAATTACAAGCGCTTAGCAAAGCATGCGCAAAACTTGCAATACCATAGCATCACCTGCAAAGATTGCCACAAATGCAGAACAAAAATCAGCGCAATTTGCCGGAGGCACCGCTCCAAAACAAAATGGGGTCCATACAAAGGTCGTGGCCCTCTTTGAGGCATTGGGCGGAAATCACGGGGATCCGCAGCCCATGCCGAGAGGTACCTAATTTGAGACAAGTGTGTAATGTTCAGTTCCTTTATGTCTTTTCGGACAGGATCACGTCTGCCCAATGGATTTGGAAGTTCAAGGTTGCTACAAAAAAAATCAAAGCTCGAATTGCCTTGGACAGCCGGGAAGCAAAACCACCGCAGCTTTTGAACCTAGATCCCCCAAGCAACAATCCTGTGTTTTCATGCTGGTCCATACTTTGTCTAAGAGGTCCTACGATCAAGCTGACACACAGCATCAACATGGGCATCATCTGCCACTCTGAGGGATCCCAGCTAAAGGTCGCCAGTTTGCCATTCCAAGCTTCTGGTAGTCCTGCACCACCAACTCCTCCTTCGCCAGCAAGGAGCGGTTGAACTGCACCAAGATCTCCTCGGCTCATGTCTGTGAGGATACCCTTTTGAGGTGGCTTTAAAGGGTAACGGCTGGAAAGCAATTCTCTTTTGGAAGCAAACTCAGTTGGGAAGTGTTGTTTCTACCCCCTGATTTGGCGAGGATGCCCTCTGACTTCCCACAATTTGCTGGGGTTTGTTGGGTTGGACCTGGTTGATTTTTTCTTATTGGTTGGAATCACACCAAAAGTCAGTCAATGAAACAACAGGCCTTTTCGGCGCAGGCGTTTTTTGTCCCTGTTAGGGACTGAGTTCCCACTGTCCCTTTCTTGCTAATGAACAAGGCCCCGGCTTTGGGCCCTCCCAACCGTGCGTGGCTGGCCGTCTTTTTGCAAAATCACCAATGGATTCGAGAGACACGCTCAAAGCAGCTAAGCAAGAAGGGGTTGAATTATTATGCATACATGACTGCTGGTGTAAATATATATATATACACATACATGTATATATATATATGTGTGTGTGACGCGCGTGTGTATTTACATATGTTTTTTTAAGGGCCGTCGGGCCCTCCAATGCACGCGGCGGAGCCTTTCAATGCACGTGGCGGCGAGGGTCGGGGCGCTTGATGAATTTGGATCAGGGCCCGAGGGGCCCGAGAGGCTTGAAAGGCCTCAGCTCACAACACGCACTACCAACAATCAAGTACCTCCACCCAATGGCGCTGCTTTTCCGGCCCGTCTGCTCTGGCGCTGCTGCTGTTGCCCCGCGGGAGGCGATTTGACAGGCAGCTTCGACCGCTCCAAACGAGACAGGTCCCTATGATTTGTTGGGGCACTGGCGCAACGCGCCAACCGTGGACTTCACATGCATGTTCAAGCTGATTTTGGCTCTCGTTTCTTAGCACATGGGCCTGAGACGAGACCCGGCATCAAGCAAAACACCACACATGTACACACACATGGCCCCGCCAAACGCTTCGCACGTGGCCTCGCCGGAGATGTCGTCTTCATCAGCCTGACAAGCCGAAGGCCGGTCGGGGCCTTTCAGCCGGTCCCAAGCGATTCCTCAAGCCTCATATGTTTGATCTCACTAGGTTAGACGACGCCTTTGTCGTTCCACAAAATAAAGCCTTTTCAGTCCACGGGCTCTGCGAAACAAGTCTTAAAAGAAACGCGCGTTCCCCAGGCGGCCAGCCCTTCTTCGGGGACTTCTGGTGACTCGCGCCGGCAACAAGGCAATATGGTAGCTGTTGCAAAGTTGGCGCCATCACCCCAGTTTCAACGGTCAACGCTTCCAAACTTGGACACCCCCAAGAAAACCCGTTTATTGAAAGAGCGACCCCCTCTTTAAGGGACTCCTAAGAGGGACGCCCCATTTGTGAAACACAAATGCCACTCTTGTCAAAATTTGAGGGGCCCTCGGCGCTGTTGCCCTGTGTGTGTGCACTTGGGGCCCTTACAAAAACACGTGTGAATTTGACATTTGTCTTGTGGCTGAGCTGAAACGCTGATAGACGACTTTGTCACAAAGAAGTGCACCGCTCTCATGGCCAGAACTTAGGTGCAAGCAACTCGCCACAGCGGCCTTTCTGCCAGAAGTCTGGCAGCGTGGCGCGCAAGGATTGCATGGTGGCTCGGCTGGCTCGCATAGGGTCGACTGGCCTTCTTTTGCGAAAATTCTGACCGCGCTCCATATAATATATACATACAGAGGGATTGCAATTGCAAAGGGGGGGAACAAGCGAGTGCCACTTGGTCTGTTTTACAATTGCGAGGCATGTTACCCCGTGTACTATTGAAACAGGAGCCAAGCTAGAGTTGCCAGTTTATCCAACCACCAGTTCCACTCATTGCCGAATTTCAATCGAGCTGCCAGGTGTCGAGGCACCACCTGAGATGATAGCCTCATGGAGAAAACAACCTTCGGGTGCTGTGGACATCCCTGAACTCGAAAGTAAAACCACCAGCATGTCTTTAGCAAACCTAGGGCGCTTGAAGTGGTTTTGAATTGAGGCCACTTCAAGCAATGTCAGTGTAGCCCTTTGATTCGTTTGCTAAGCGCGCTTTCCGGTTGATGGGGTTAGGATCCTGTTGGAATCAAACGGCTACCCGTGTCGAAGTGTGCTGCCGCATTTGATTGCGGAATGGCCCGAATATGGCGTTGAAAATTTGGGGTAACTCCTTGCAAAGGTCACTCGATGTCATTTGCATTCATGTGCCGCTGTGGCTCGATTTGCCCGGACTGGGGAGGGATCGGCTGGGGAGCAACCCTGAGGGTTCAAGTGTTCTTTTTGGGGACGAAGTGACCTTATTTTCAATATTAATCATGGCACCCATCGACGATCGAGGTCACTGAAAAAGCTTGCGCTTTTTGAAAGTCTTGGCCAGGGCACTCATTGTCACTGTCGAGATAATCCGGGGCTCGCCTCGATCGATGCAACCCCCAGGAGTGCAAACTAGCGGGTTTCAGGAACCGATGCTACGCAATTGTATTTTTGTTGATGCATATCCCCAATCTTAAACTCTGACAATCCGGGACTCAACGCACACGTTCGGCCGAACAGTTTCCCACAAACATGTTTGATATCACATTTGCGGACGCCCTGCAGCTACATTTGCGCAGACCACCTTCTCGACCGCAACCCGTTTCTTCTCTTGGTCAAGGCGGTTCCTTCATCACTCCGACAATCCCATTATTGAAGACGAGCTGCTCGTCTGCCAACTCCCTCTCCTTTTTCGTCATCTTGCGCAAGCCAGCAGGTAGAGCAGTAATCCTAGTCAACCGACAGTCAACCGCAATATCGTGGCTTCCTTATGAGGTTTTCTTCAACAAGTGTAATTTTCCGAAACAAGCCGAGAGTTCCCTAGCAAACGAGGGACTGATCAATGTGTCAACCAAGGAGCTTGATGCCATACTCGGTGTCCAGCACATGGCTTGGCGGCTCCGGCAAAAAGCTCCTCGGCAACAATTGATGGGGGCATGTGCCCTGATACACTCTGCCGTTGAACCCTGTCAAAAAGAGCCCTCGAGGATCTTTGGAGAAAAACCCTTGAAGTTGCTAGGGTTTCAAATCGAGGCGCAACGCCGTTCCATGTTTGCGGCATATTGTTCTTCTTTGCCGAGCGAAGTAGCCCGTGCAGCCTTTTAGCTTGAGCCGCCACGTCCACCAGTTGCACGTGCAGCATTTCAGCCTTACACAGCCGAGTTGCCCCCGAAAATTGGAAGTACTTGTCGATTTTCGGTTGTGTAACCTTCATGCGCACCCAGGTTTTGATGGTTGACTGAGACTACTGAGAAAATGGGCACAAACAAACAATCGGGCTCCATATAAGGACGAGCCGCCAGGTGGTGGACAACTGACTTAGCGAGCGCGTTTGTGAACACACGCCCCTTTAAAAGTGGCGAGCACAACCATGGGCCCACAAGTACAGCCCGCACCGACCGCTTCTTTATAGAGCTGCGGGGAACAAAAACAAAGCAGTCTTGTGCCGCACTTGCCATTGCAGGGCACCGCGACACACCATGGCGGGCGTGCGCCCCAAAAGTTGAAGCAATTTAAAAGAGACCCACTTTGGATGATGATAATGATAATCCTCAGGTAAACGGTGGTCATATGAACCCCCATTGTTTGAATGTCGGTTTGGGTGCCATAAGTACTTGATGGCCGTAGCACTGATCGCTGAACCCGGGAACATGTTGAACAAAGTGCAGCTTCTCAACCTCGCCACTGAGGAAAATGCTATCGATTTGATCAACGCGCTGCAGGCTCGCATGCCACGACCAAAACCTGGTATCAAACTTGACTAGTCATGCAAAGAATTTAATTGCAAAGGCAGTTTAATCGTGCCCATATTGAATGACCAAACCCGGTTCCGATTGTCGCTCAAGCATTTGCAACGCTCGCAGCGCATGCATCTGCAATAAGGCTGGCCTATGCCATTGCGCGGAGAAGATCGCGCTGCATCGCAAGCAAGGCAAAAAGATGTTTGCCGAACATCGCTTGCGTGTGTTTCACTTCTGATCCACTCCTGGGAAGCCATCATGCGGCCAGGCATGGCAGAGCAAGATCGGGTCCACACGAAACCTTTTGCAGCAATACGACGCAGACTGTTTGAAGGTTCAACTGTTGCAGGGGCCGGGGAATTGCATTTGAAAACAGTTTGCTGAAAAGTAGTGCGAAAGAAGTTGTTTGGGCGCAGGTCTGGTCAACTGATCGGTCGCTCACATCTGTATACATGACAACTGCCTTCTTATCAAAATCACGTTAAGGAAGCACGTTTGTGCCAAATATTGCCTTGCAAACATGCGGTCACGCGTGAAGACAAGCCCACATTCTTAACAAAACAATGCTGATGGTGCAGCCCGACACACCGATTACTTTCGCACGTTTCAAACATGACCCACAATCCATGTCAGTAACTGAGTGACAAGCAGTATCCACGCTTCATATGAATTGCGGTGAACATTCATACCTGCAACTCTCACAGCTGTCGTGGTCCTAGCCTCAGATCACACGCAGGGCGCAGCTCATGGTGATAGTGAATTCTGGCTGAAGAAAGAAGGCTAAGTCCTGCAAACTTTGCTTCAGTGGTTTTGGAAAAGGATGACCTATACAGCTGTTCAACCTGTGATGCTTTCTTCTGCGCAAGGAGGCCTGAACTGGCTGGTCAAGGAGCACCGCGTTCATCCTTTCCGCTCAACTTGTTTTGTAGCAGTGCTGCAAAGAGCACGCGGATGTGAGCATGACCGTCGGCAAATTGCGTGAATCAGCTCACCACCGTGGCACGTTGATCTCTCATAAGGACTTCTTGCAGAGCACTCCACAGATTCTCGCACGGAAATATCTTGATTTGTTCCATCCGTCTCCTTCTAATCCGCTCTGCCAGGGTCATTTCCCATTCAATGGGGACCGCGAACCCTCAAAAACAACCATCCTCTTCAGGTGTTTCACAGGGCCCCCAAATACAAGCGCGGCCCTAAGGCCAGCAACATCGGTTTTGTTCACACGTGCGCTTTCTTTTGCTCTCTGCAGCTCAGAATTCCTGGTGCCCGCTTTTTGCGCGATGTGTGTCATTCGCAACTGCTTGGCACGAGGAAGGTGACGAACGGCAGCACCCTTGTGTACCTTGCAGAGGGTGGGACCTTTGGCTATTCGTCGCGCGGCAGACACGACAGATTGCTCGGCCCTCTTCTCAAAGCCGCCTTCGTGCAGTTTGGCCAGTGGAAGCGCCGTAAAATGATTCAATTTGCGCAGCCACGCTTCACTCTTGCGAGACTCAACCGCAAGTTCAGAGGTTGCAGATCGAGCCTCAACTCCAAAGTTGTCCCTGGCAAACACTTGGCCATGTGGTGAAGCGAGGTGCCTCAGCGGCACGCTGCTTGTGACTTGACCGACAGGTCGCCTGCTGCATATGGAGCTATGCTGCTGCTTAGCGCGGATGAAGCTGAAAGCTTTTACCAGCTTGGTCAGCTTTACTTGCTCACATACACACACCGTCTGCGGAAAGCAGCCGAACAGGGGGGCTGATCCCAAAGCACCACCCCATGATGCACTTGCTATCCGCTGTCGAGAGTTTCGCCGAAACTCTTGCCCGCATATGTCATCGTAGCACAGTGTCTCAGCGAGTGCAGCAGGCGCAAAGGTGAGACAAAACTGAATGCCAAGCATGTCGTGGGCCCTGGGAGGGGGTGAAGACTATAGGGATTATAGGGGCCCTTGATACTCTGGATCAGGGCGCAGGCTGCCTACGTTTTGGGGGTGTATATATATATATACCACATTTGTGCATATATATACATATATATCCGCCGACCCCTTCTCCCAGAGGGGAGGCGCACGGGAAGGGTGATCATCATCATCGGCATCATCGAGATGCTGGGGATCAAGGCATGACTCGTCCTTTCAAGTCCTGCACCAAGTTGCTTACTTGGGGTCTAGGATCTAGGGTCTGGCGCAAGAATATCGATCTTGCCCTACCTAGACCCTAGACCTTAGACTCAGAGCTAGCCCAAACTAGCGCAAATTGCTTCAAATCTTAATGACCCAAATGGCATCTGAGGCGGGGCGCCGTTTCGATAGTGGCTAGGAATCAAGGTGGTCACGAGATCCTGTAGAGTCCGCTTGACATGCAAGTGATGCGTAGTCATGATTATGATCATCGCTGCTGGAGATGCTGGGGATGCGTAGTGATGATTACCCTCATGACTGCCAGAGATGCTGCGAATGATGCGTAGTGATAACTATCATCAAGGCAGGACTCCAAATCTCAAGGACGCAAATGGCATCTGAGGCGAGGTGCCGCTTCAATAGTGACGCGTAGTCGTGATCATTGCTAGGGATGCTACGATGATAGTGATCATGACAGTCATCCGCAGCTTTGGTAATGCAGAGGATGCTACTATGATAGTTATCATAGGAGTCATCATCCTTATCATCTTCATGATGATTGTCATCATAGTCATCGCCTTCATCATCGTCATCATGATATTCTTCTGTCTTTCTTCTATATACATTTCAAATGTGGCGTTAGGCATCCTTGGTAATGCAGAGTCATCCGCAGCTTTGGTAATCGTTAGGCATCCTTGGTAATGCAGAGTCATCCGCAGCTTTGGTAATGCAGAGGATGCCACGATGATAGTGATCATAAGAGTCATCATCACCTTCATCATCGTCATCATGATTGTCATCATCAGCATCATCTCTTTCTTCTATCTTTCTTCTATATACATTTCAAATGTGGCGTTAGGCACCCTTGGGAATGCAGAGGATGCTACGATGATAGTTATCATGACAGTCATCCGCAGCTTTGGTAACGCAGAAGATGCTACGATGATAGTTATCATGACAGTCATCCGCGTTCGACAGCACTGGTGATGCAGAAGATGTTACGATGATAATTATCATCACAGCCGTTAGCGAGCCGAGGTCGAATGTGGGACTGCTGGGCAATTCCCATCACAGTCATCATCCTTGTCACCCTCGTCATCAATCTCCGTATCATCATCGTAGTCATCACCATCTCTTTCTATACTTCTATATTCTATACTATACATTTCAAGTGTGGCGTTAGAGAGCATTGGCGATGCAGAGGATGCGTCGTCATGTTTATCATCATGACTACTCGTGATGCTGAGGATGCGTCATGATGATTATTATGCGACTTAAGATGCAAAAGGTGCGTGGACATGATTATCATGATGATGACTGCTGGTGATGCTGCTGGAGATGCTGAGGATGCGTCATGATGACTATCAGCCGAATTGAAATGCAAAAGATGCGTGGACATGATTATCATGATGATGACTGCTGGTGATGCTGAGGATGCGTCATGATGACTATCAGCCGATTTGAAACGCAAGAGATGCGTGGACATGATTATCATGAGGATTGCTGGACAGTTACATGGTTATCATGATGACTGCTGGACAATTATCATCACAGTCATCATCCTTGTCACCCTTGTCATCAATATCATCGTCATCATCATCGTAGTCATCACCATCTCTTTCTATACTTTTATATTCTATACTATACATTTCAAGTGTGGCGTTAGAGGGCACTGGTGATGCGGAGGATGCGTCCTCATGATTATCACCATGACTACTGGTGGTGCGGAGGATGCGTCATGACGATTCTCATGCGACTTGAGATGCAAAAGGTGTGTGGACATGCTTATCATGATGACTGCTGGTGAAGCTGAGGATGACCGTCGTCATCAATATCATCGTCATCATCATCGTAGTCATCACCATCTCTTTCTATACTGTTACATTCTATACTACACATTTCAAGTGTGGCGTTAGAGAGCATTGGCGATGCAAAGGATGCGTCGTCATGATTATCATCATGACTACTGGTGATGCTGAGGATGCGTCATGATGATTATCATGCGACTTAAGACTATACTATACATGTCGAGTGTGGCGTTAGAGGGCACTGGTGATGCGGAGGATGCGTCCTCATGATTATCATCATGACTACTGGTGATGCGGAGGATGCGTCATGACGATTATCATGCGACTTGAGATGCAAAAGATGCGTGGACATGATTATCATGATGACTGCTGGTGATGCTGAGGATGACCGTCGTCATCAATATCATCGTCATCATCATCGTAGTCATCACCTCTTCTTATACTGTTATATTCTACACTACACATTTCAAGTGTGGCGTTAGAGGGCACTGGTGATGCAGAGGATGCGTCCTCATGATTATCATCATGACTACTGGTGATGCGGAGGGTGCGTCATGACGATTATCATGCGACTGAAGATGCAAAAGATGCGTGGACATGAGTATCATGATGATGACTGCATGATGACTATCAGCCGATTTGCAATGCAAGAGATGCGTGGACATGATTATCATCATGACTACTGGTGATGCTGAGGATGCGCCATCATGATCATCCTTACCATCATCACCCGCAGCATCCTGTGCATTACCGATAGACACGTCATCATCCTGATGATCATTATCATCTCTTTCTTGTTCTTGTATGCATTTCAAAAGTAACGTTAGACACAATTGGCAATGCAGAGGATGCTACGATGATAGTTATCATCGTAGTCCTCCTCCTTATCATCACTATCATCATGGTCATCATCATCTCTTCTTAGCCGGCACTGATGAGGCCGAGGATGCTACGATGATATTTATCATCACAGCCCTAATCTTTGTCATCCTAATCATCACGGTCATCATCGTCTCTTATTAGCCGGCACTGGCGATGCCGAGGATGCTACGATGATAGTTATCATCACAGTCCTCATCCTTGTCATCATTATCATCACGGTCATCATCATCTCTTATTAGGCAGCACTGGTGATGCAAAGGGTGCTACGATGATAGTTATCATCATCATCTCTTCTAATCATCATCATGATGATCATCATCATCTTATTCTTGTTCTTATATGCATTTCAAAAGTAACGTTAGACACCATTGGCAATGCAGAGGATGCTACGACGATAGTTATCATCACAGTCCTCATCCTTATCATCACTATCATCATGGTTATCATCATCTCTTATTAGCCGGCACTGGTGATGCCGAGGATGCGAAGATATTTATCATCACAGCCCTCATCCTTGTCATCATTATCATCATGGTCATCATCGTCTCGTATTAGCCGGCACTGGTGATGCCGAGGATGCTACGATGATAGTTATCATCACAGTCCTCATCCTTGTTATCATTGTCATCACGGTCATCATCATCTCTTATTAGGCAGCACTGGTGATGCAAAGGGTGCTACGATGATAGTTATTATCAAAGTCATCATCATGATCTGCACTGATTTTTTGCTCGAAAACCACAAGCAAATCCAGGGGTCGGCGGCACTGGGCGGCAGCCCTTAAATCCGGCCACCGGACGTGATCGGGCCGCAGGCCAAAGCCCGTTAGGGCTTACCTTCAGGTATAAGGCCGCGCGCCCCATGCCGCCGACCATGAGCGGACCATGTACATACGTTTTAGGCTGGGCCTTCCTTATGAGGGGCGAAGGATTCGCGGATTGGTTTAGGCGATTTTTGTAGCATCTCCCCGCAGCGCCCAAAAACGAGTATTTTTAGGGGGTGCCTAATACTGGACAACACCCCCAGCATTGCCAGCATCATCCCGGATGATGCAGATGATGTTATGCATGCTGGCGATGCGGGTGATGCTGGGGATGTTGCCCCCTTAAAATCTTAAAGTGGATGAAACATGGCCTGGATTGAAATCTCAAAATCCTAAAGTCTTAGATTCTTAAAATCTTAAATTAAAATCTAACAATCAATCTTAGAATCTCAAGATCTTAAAATCTTAGAACTTAGAATCTTAAAATCTGAAAATATAAAAACATCCTAAAGTCTTCGAATCTTGAAATCTTAAAAACCTTATGTCTTAGAATCTTGAGATCTTAAACTCTTAAAATATGAAATTCCTAAAGTCTTACACTCTTAAAATCTCGGAATCTTAAAAAGCTTTAAAACTTAAATTATTTAAACCTCGAACAATTGAAATCTGAAAATCTTAAATTATTAAAATATTACCTTCCTTCAATCCGGGCTATATTTTAAATTCCTTAAACTCTTAATCTTGAATTTTTGAAATCTTGAAACCTTAAGATCTTAAGATTACAACCTTAGAAGTTAGAATCTTACAACCTGAAAATATAAACATCCTAAAGTCGTCGAATCTTGACTTCTTAAAACCCTCATGTCTTTGAATCTTCAGATGTTCAAATCTTAAAATATGAAATTCCTAAATTCTCAAAATCTTAAAATCTCAGAATCTTAAAAGTTTCAAAAACTTAAATTATTTCAATATCGAACTATTGCAATCTGAAAATCTTAAATTCATAAACAAGTAAAATATAATAAAATTCCTTCAATCCGGGCTATATATTAAATTCATTAAACTCTTAATCTTGAAATTTTGAAGTCTTGACATCTTAAGATCTTAAAATCTTCAATTACGAAAGTCGCCAAATCTGAAAATCTCACAAAAATGAAATCTTAAAGCCTTCGAAATCTGATACTGGATGGAAAATGGCTGGGCAATGGCCTGGCTGTTATAACCTTCAAAAACCTTAAATCTTTGAATCTTAAAACCTTAATTCTTAAACCATTGAAACCTTAAATTCCGAAAGTCTTCAAATCTGAGACCCTTAGAATGTCAAAGATTTTAGAATTTTAAAATCTTAACATCTACTAATCGGACTTACAGAAAGGGAAGTGACAGAACGGGCAGGGCAAGGTGCCCGGTGGCCGGCTGTGTCGCGTCAGCGTGTAAATCCGGCCACCGGACGTGATCGGGCCGCAGGCCAAAGCCCGGTAGGGCTTACCTTCAGGTATAAGGCCGCGCGCCCCATGCCGCCGACCATGAGCGGACCATGACCAGAACATGCGCATACGTTTTATGCTGGGCCCTCCCTTATAAGGGGCGAAGGATTTGCGGATTTGTTTAAGCGATTTTTGAGGAGTTTTGTAGCATCTCCCCGCAGAGTCACAAAACGAGCGCTTCTTGGGGGGTGCCTAATACTGGACAACACCCCCAGCATTGCCAGCATCATTCCGGATGATGCAGATGATGCTATGCATGCTGGCGATGCGAAACAAGGGGTTGAGGGGAAATGCAAGGAAGCAGGAGTGACTGGAAGTGAACAAAATGAAAGTCAAAGGAATGGCACGAAAAATGGGGAGGGCACTGGAGAGAAACCGAGATGCAGGAAAATGCAAGGGCAGAACGTGAAGGGGACCGGACAGAATGCGAATAAAGGAGTCTTCAAGGAAATGAAGGGAGCTGAAACGGCAGTGAAGTGGAAGTGAAGGGACATGCCAGGAAACTGTCAGGGAAGACATGCAAAGGAAAAGTTCATTCAAATCATCCCGAAAACTAGCAGGACTTGGAGGGAAAGGAAATCAAAGAACGGGAAGGGGTGCCCGGTGGCCGGCTGTGTCGCGTCAGCGTGTAAATCCGGCCACCGGACGTGATCGGGCCGCAGGCCAAAGCCCGTTAGGGCTTACCTTCAGGTATAAGGCCGCGCGCCCCATGCCGCCGACCATGCGCGGACCATGACCAGAACATTATGCTGGGCCCTCCCTTATAAGGGGCGAAGGATTTGCGGATTGGTTTAGGCGTTTTTGTAGCATCTCCCCGCAGCATCCAAAAACGAGTATTTTTGGGGGGTGCCTAATACTGGACAACACCCCCAGCATTGCCAGCATCATCCCGGATGATGCGGATGATGCTATGCATGCTGGCGATGCGAAACAAGGGGCTGAAAGGAAACAGGAGTGACTGGAAAGTGAACGAAATGCAAGTCAAAGGCATTGCACGAAAATGAAGAGGGCGCTGGAGAGAAACCAAGCTGCAGGAAAATGAAAGATCGAAAAGGGAAAGGAATGCGAATGAAGGAGTCTTCAAGGAAATGAAGGGAGCTGAAGCGGCAGTGAAGTGGAAGGAAGTGAAGGGACATGCCAGGAAACTTAGAGGGAAAGGAGATGAAAGAACGGGAGGGGTGCCCGGTGGCCGGCTGTGTCGCGTCAGCGTGTAAATCCGGCTGCGCCTCCTTGGGGTAGCATGTCGCCGCTAGGCAATTAGCCTGCTAGCTTTAGCTATAGGGGGTGCACCCTGGTGCCGCCGATCCGGCTACGCCTCCTTGGGGTAGCATGTCGCCGCTAGGCAATAGGCAACTAGCCTGCTAGCTTTAGCTATAGGGGGTGCACCCTGGTGCCGCCGACCCTCGCCACTTGGTCGTGATGCGCTGCCTAAATCCGGCACCTCTGCATCACCAGCTCCGGCTTGCGGCTTTGCTTGCCTGTGGGAAACCCTCGCAAAACGTCGCGTATATGCAGGGTTTAGGCCATGTGGCTGACATCGTCAGGATGCTTCAGCGGGGCTTGGCCTGCATCATCAAGACTTCCTTTTAAAAAGCCTCTCAACCCAAAAAGCACTGTTTTTAAGACGGTATCGGAGGGTATAAGCGAGGCTCATTTTTGCGCATTTTGGCGCCAAGCGCTGCCGGGCATGCCGGTGATGCTGGGTCCTCGCTCTCCAAAACGCTGTAAATACCGCAACAAACTGCTGCGCTGAGCGTTGGGCTGTTGTTCTGTCCGTTTTGCTCTTGCTGTGGCTGGCTCGCGCGCTGCGCAGTCCTTGCTTTTTTCCCGTTGGTTTTCGGGCTTTTTGGCGCGCGCGCGCGCTCAGCCACAAAACGCTGCTATTTACGGTGTGTTGTTGCGTTTGCGTTTCCGGGCTGGCTTGCGGGCTGCTCTTCTTCGGCTGCTTTTTTTGGGTCCTCTGGCGCGCGCGCGCGCGTCAGCCTTCTGGGTTGGGGCCCGGCTGGGGCCCAGAAAGCCGGCATCCCCGGCATTATCTGGGGTTGAGGTGGGCAACATAGCCATATCATAGCACAGGATACGTTTCTCATGCACAAAACATGACATGACGTGGTATAGCTTCAAAGAGGCGTAGCCGGCTAGAGGCCGCAGGCCCAGAAATATATACACACACTTGCTTGCATGCAAACAATTCGAATCAAACACATGCTCGACTGTGTGAGTTGTCATGCGATATATAAATATGCGCGATCAGGCGCTGACATTGCTTACGCTTGTGAGCCCCCTTTAGTTGTCCAATATGTTGTGTTACCCATCAGTTCTCAATTGCAGGCCTTGATGTGTCAATCACGTGAGCCACATGCGTGTTTCTCTAAATAGGAGTGCGGTTACATCCTGATCAAAAGGGGTTGCATGTTGAGAAACTCCCACATGAGTTTGTATTGTCTTGAGGGTGCCCTGTTGCGGTTGTTTTCAAGAAAACTTCCATTTACTTAAGTCCCGGTCAAGAAAAGCTTAATTCCAGCCAGTACTGAGCGATTCCTTTGAAAAGCAGGCGAAAATCGAACATCTTCGTTTCAGTGGAACCGAAGAAATCTGCATTTCAGCCCATGGAAGGATTTTCAAACCTCCCCCTTTTGGGAAACGGAAACCCGTCAAACCACGACACGCCAAAAACGCCAAGCGGGCCGCGTTTTCGCCGTTGGCTCGGCACCCGGCAAGTGTGGGCCCCGTGAAGCTGCCTTGAGCCCCGTAGGCGACCACCAGCGCCGCTTGGGCCAGGCGGGCGGCCACCGGCTTCTTGTCACGGGGGTGGATGGGGCCCATGTAGTAGTTGGTGTCCTTCGTTCGGTTCGGGGGGGGCATATTGGTCAAACGTAGAACTGATGAACTGAACTGCAACCTCAAACATGCTGCGTGTGGGTGCAAGAAATCCATTCGCACAACAAAACACAGCCGTTAAAAAGAAGAAACAAAACTGGTGACTGGTATTTTCAGAGGAATGATTGTAAACCAAGTCTTGTTGGATGCAGGATTTTGTCTCTCCGCAGTACCCAAAACGAGTTGCCAGATCTGGTAAACGGAAGGTCTAAAACCTGCGGTCCATGTCCTGGTGCATACCCATCTGAAGATCAGCTTTCAAGTAGGTATATGGCCCGTTTTGCTATGCGATGCCTCGTGCGTAAGGGGCTTGAAGAGCTGCACGAATTGAAGTGCAACTAGAGGGAAACCGCTTGGCGGGTCAAGGCGCGCTGAGATTGGCACAGTAGCCCCCTGGGCCGCCGCAGCCGTTGCAGTCGCCATGCGGGCTCCCCGAGCAGCAGCCCTTGCGATAGCAGGTGATGTTGCTGAAGGGGTCGTTCAAGTCCTCAGATTGACCCGTATTGACCCAAGCAAAAATCGGAAAAAAAACAGCGATTTGTTGTGTACGTCTTCGCCTGTCAGGAGCTGAAAGGCTCAATCCCAGGGACCATCCCGAACCCCGAGACAGCCGACGGACGGAGCTCCAAGGTGCGAAAGCTTGCGCCATGAACCTGGGCTTGCCAGCGACGGAGGTGCCGGTTTTGCGTGTGTCTTGTCTTGAGGGCATTCTTTTGTTGTGGTGTTAAAAGGAAACCAAAAGCAAAAACACAGAGACGCAAACACACACAAAGACACAGAAACACACATACACAAACGCATTTGTTTCGCCCAACTGGAACCGCCCCCCCATTCCAAGCTCCCCGTCCCAGCGGCGAGAACGGCATTGCCGGGTTGGGCGCCACCCCGAAGTTGGCAGTCTGCGCCCAGCGCATGGCGCCCATGGAGTTGCCGCCCTCCGAGCCGCTGGGAGCCAAGGTGACCTTAGATGGGAAACACGTGCCTGGGGTGACTCGTGGCCGTGTTCTGCTTCATCCAACCAACCATCCAACCAACCAACCAACCAACCAGCCAACCAACTAACCAACAGCCAGCCAGCCAGCCAGCCAATCAGGGTGTGTGTGTGTGTGTCTTTGTAGAATCTGCTTATTCGTTGCAAGGAATAACACATTGTTGGGGTCCCGGGTTCAAGGTTGGCTTAGGGTTCCAGGCTTGCTTAGACCAAACGCCGGTGATACTGGGCGTGTTACCCCGGGATGCTGAGGATGCGGAAGGCCAAGGCCACAAAAGCCACCAAAAGCCGCCAAAACTCGCAAAAAGCCACAAAAGCCAAAAGGCCAGCCCGGAGAAAAGCACACAACGAGCGAAAACAAAAACGACAAGCAAATCCTGAAAACAATGGACCTCCACCGGATTTCCCCTCATAAGTTGATCAATTTACTGGCGGGCTCCACCCAAACTCCCCGCAAAACGCAGGTCCCTTTGAAGGGATCTGGCTCGGCACTTCGGGAAACCCGCCGCAGACCTATGGAAGCTGTGGGCAAACGTGTGGAAACTTAAACAAAACCCACGTGAAACACCCGTAAAATAAGGGAACCGAGGCGCGAAGCCAAAGGGGGCTTCTGGCTGGCGCCACAAGGACCGCCAGGAGCTCACCAGGCGCTGCGCCAGGCACCCATAGCCGTAGCCCAGCGCCGAGTTGCCGTGGACACCTGCGACGACAGCCCAGGCGGTATCCCCGTCAAACGTCCGTTGTGGACCCTTGTGGACCCTTTTTGTCGAAGCCGCCAGAACCAGCCCTGAGAAAACTTTATGTATAACTCACCTTATTGCAATGGGTGTATATATATATATATATATATACAGACATATCATATTTTATGTATAAATATGCGTATAGATGTATCAAATAGGTTTCACCCCATAGTTCTCGCCAGGGAGCCGTGCATGTCGTTCTCGCCCTGATACCAGATCCAGCCCTTTAGAGCCATATCCACGTAGGGCAGGACCCTCTTGTCGTGGTATTGCCTCCGCACATTGCGCAAGAATCTGCAACAGTAGTACCGTTTGAGCATACCCTGGGCCCCTGTGTCTGAAAGGTCTGCGAAGGGGGTGCCTTGGCTCACTTCCTGAGTGGACTGGCCGAAATACGTTCAAACCGTTTCCCAAAAAGCTTAAAGCCCACGAACTCAGGGAGTGAGTTGGGAACTCTCATTGCTTTGCAGAAAATCAATCTGTTGCTTTGTTCCCTTGTACAGTTACAAGCCGAAAACGTGGTTGCCAGAAAAAGCGGGATAGCCTGAGGTTTTGCCACAGTCCCCTCCTTGACGTGGAGCAATCAAAAGTAGCTTCGGCCGGGACTTGCTTTGCAAAACGAACAAAGAGCCCAAATGCACTTGAAGAAGGACTCGGACGGGGAAAATACGTGTGTGATTCGTTGCTGTTTTCTTGGAGGCCCACACAAATTGACACAAGGAACAAGGGAAACGTCTACTTGGGCATAAACTCAGTTAGTGACCTTTTTGGAGTACCTTTCATTTACACGCGGAACCAACTATGTCCAGCAAACCATGAAAGCAACCTTCTTTCAGTGTAGCCTCCCTAACAATGGGCTGTCCCCCCCCCACCCCGAATTTAACAAAAAAAACTCCCGGGGGGGTTATTATTAGTGTCCCCGAGTTTTGGGCCAGAACTGTTTCAGACTGTGTTGTTTAGAATTGGCATCAAGCGGCAATTGCAGAAAAGTGGTCAAAATGCAATTTCCGAGTAAGAACTTTAAAAGAGAAAGTGCCCAAGTGTTTCCAAAAAGCAGCTAAAAATAGAAACCCTGGCTGTTATGAAAAAAAGACCTTCTGAAAGGAATCCAGAGACCTTAATCATCAAACCCTTGTCAAGCAGTGGAACCATGTGGTTTTGGTTGGAGGCCCAGTTCAGACCCACGCAAGGCAACCCTTTGGTTGGAGGGAAAAAAGTGCTCAGAAGAATCACAACTTTTGAGTCAGACCAGGCTAAGCAGAGTTCGGGAGAGTCTAGTATTGGTTTAGTATTTGGAAATTTTAAAATAGGTATTTGCCTTTTAGGGTCGACTGGCGGACTATTGTTAGTGGAAGGTTTATGAATTGCAAGAAAGGATTTCCAGTATCTAAGTCTTTGGGGGCGCTGAGTTGAACCCCGCAGAGAAAAACAAGTTGTTAGAGCTAGACCAAGCGTCTGATTGCCCGAGGTGATGGTAGCATTGCGGCAGCTGGCGATGGTCTTGTTGTCCAGCCATTCTTCGATCGTGCCTTGGAAATGCGACTGGGAACCCAGGATGAATAAACAGGGGGGTATTCCCATCTAAGAGAGTGTCCTTCACTTTTGGGGGCCCCAATCTGCAAGCTTGATACATCCGGGTCGACAATACGGGTGATTCGCTATTAAGCAATCAAAAATTCAGGTTCCATGCAGGGAGGCTTCAACATGGGCGCCTCCCCCTTGCTTTGCGAGGTTGCTCTCATTTGCTTGAAAAAATGTGAACTCCTAAAAGATCCTGGAGCTTCGGAATCTGGCCCTCTTTAGGGTCTGCAAGCGTAGGCAGTGTGGGCTAAATTCATATCGAGATCCCAACATGTGATGCCCCCTGTCCAGTGGCTTCCTAGGCGCTCCTCCATAGCTTCACCCCATTCAAAGGAGACATTCTGGATGTTGGCAACCACAAATGCTGCTTAAAACCGTCGAACAGGGGACAACATCGTTTGCAGGGCGCAAAGCACGCCGCTGGGGTTGGCTCCAATGACGCAATGTTAGATTGGAGCTGTGGCCAACAAGCTCGCTCTTCTTGTGTTCCAACAACTCGGACATCAAAGGCTACCATGACTTGACATGAACCAAGCCTCAGGGTCCTGGCAAGCCGGCCAATTGGATAATCCTTCCAACCTATTGCATTCAATAGCATGTGAAGTTTCGCAGTCCAGGCCCCCTGGTCCCAAGGCACTGCCGCCCCAGGCGGTGTGAATCATCCCCAGGGGCACATCGCCCAAACGATCTGATAGACTCTCTGCAAAGTACCAGCACGTAGAGGAATACCTGACTCGTCCAAGCCGGAAGCCAGACTTTGGCTGATTCCCTTCTTGTTTTTCTTGTGAAACCGTCACCAAAAGGAAGCTTAGTTTTTTCATAGCGGCCGCAAACAGCGTGATGACTGCTCCCATTTGCCGCGAAGGGAATCGGGAAACAACCACAACAACCACAACCACAACCACGCCACCACACCACCACCACGCACCACCACCACCACCACCGCCACCACCACCACGAACACGAACACAAGACCCCGCACCACCACCACCACCAACAACAACAGCAACAACGCCTGAACGGCTTGTCAACAAACGCAACAGCCAGGCGCAAAAAGGACAACCACCCAAAGTATTGAAAACACCGTGATTCGGAGCTTTTCAATGCAAATCCAGGGCCAAGCATGCATGAAACGACGACGCTTCGTCGTCACTTTTTCGAGCGTTTCGCCTAGGCGAAAATGTTTCCGGTGCTTTCGCCTAGGCCAAAATAAGAACAAGACAAAGAAGATTGAAGAAGTCACCAACACGGAACACGGATTGTTGATTTCCTGAGCGGGTGCACTTGAGCGGGTGTTCTTACCATTTGGCAGGCATGTGTGCAGAGCTGAGCAGGTGTGCAGTGCAGAGCGGGTGCACTTGAGCGGGTGTTCTTCCCATTTGGCAGGCATCTGTGCAGAGCTGAGGGCAGGCACGTGTGCAGACCTGAGCGGGTGCACTTCACCGGTTTTCTTACCATTTGGCAGGCATGTGCGCCGAGCTGAGCGCGTGCACTTGAGCGGGTGTTCATACCATTTGGCAGGCACGTGTCCAGCGCTGAGCGGGTGCACGTGTGCGTGTGTTCTTACCATTTGCCAACGTGCGTTGCTGCGCCTGCCACATGAAATCATGAAACACACGATTGATCTCAGAAGAGCATAAAATGCACGCGCTGGCCACACGGAACACACTTGCTTGCACGCTCGAGGGCTTTTTGCTGATGCCCCATGTACACAAAATCCTGCGCCTGCCACATGAAAGACGCATGATTGATCTCAGTCGAGCCAAAAATGCTGCGCTGGCCATACGAAACAGACTCGCTTTAACAGCGTAAAAGCCCTGCATGCTAAAAAACGCGACCTCAAACATGCACGAAATAGCTGCTTTTACCTCAAACACGTGCTGAAAAGTGCAATTTTTGTTCGTTTACGTTCCTTCGGAGCCACCACCACCACCACCACCACCACCAACAGCAGCAACAACAACAACAACCACAACAACAACAACCACAACAACAACACCAACAACACCAACAACACCAACAACACCAACAACACCGACAACACCAACAACACCAACAACACCAACAACACCAACAACACCAACAACACCAACAACACCAACAACACCAACAACACCAACACCAACAACACCAACAACACCAACAACACCAACAACACCAACAACACCAACAACACCAACAACACAACAAACAACAACACAACAACACCAACAAACAAACCAACAACAACAACAACAACAACAACAACAACAACAACAACAACAACAACAACAACAACAACAACAACAAACAACAACAACAACAACAACAACAACAACAACAACAACAACAACAACAACAACAACAACAACAACAACAACAACAACAACAACAACAACAACAACAACAACAACAACAACAACAAACAACAACAACAACAACAACAACAACAACAACAACAACAACAACAACAACAACAACAACAACAACCACAAACAACAACAACCACAACCACAACCAACAACAACCACAACCACAACCACAACCACAACCACAACCACAACAACAACAACAACAACAACAACAACAACAACAACAACAACAACAACAACAACAACAACAACAACAACAACAACAACAACAACAACCCACTTCACTTCTATCACGGCCAAAGCAACGGCCTTTTCATGACAAAGACAGGAAGGGCAACAAAAGCAACAGCAACTGCAACAAGGCATTAAGTTCAAAGCTGACGAGGTGCTGCAAGCTTGCATGCAGGGAATTCCCAAGTATGATGTGCGAGTATGTTCTAATATGTTCTGATCATGTTCATCTGTGTGTGTGTGTGCGCTTGCTAACAACGCATGTGCACTTCTTACATCATAAACCTGTCCATTCTGCAGCTTCCCAATGCAGCCCGAGATATTCCATCGAAGAATCCATTCCTAAAAATGTGCTCAAACAGAAGGAGACCTGGTGGGGGCGCACATATCAAAACAAAGGCAAACATAGGCCATTCTCCCCTCCCTGTTTGGAGGGAGCATGCCTGGCCTCAGCCTTCCGGGTGTCTCAAAACAGGGAGCCGCCCCTGTTGGATGGCAAGAAGAAGGAAACGGACAGGAAAACACCTACCGATTCGGAGGAATCGGTCCCCTATATTGAGAACTTATAATTCGAAGCAAACTGCGGCAAAGTGAGGCACGGCGCTTAAAAAAGGCGCAGCCCTTGTCGCAGGTCGATGGGCTGCGGATGGCATCGGAGACTTTGGCCCAGGGCTGTGTGGGGTTCATGTTCCCGCTCATACCATGGATGCGGATGTTCCCGTACCTGGGGCTGGAAGTCGGAGACAAGCACAAACATGGTCTTCTTCTGGGATGGGGAATTCACTCCAGCGATTTGCCCCCTGAAACTTCTTTGAACCTCGCCCAAGGTTGGGGCATGTACACCTGCAGAACGAGTGGGCATGTTCAAAACAATGCGATGCTGAGGGATGTAGGACAAAAACTGCCGAACAGTGACATGACTTTGCAGGACCAAGTGACTCAGCAACAGTTATTTGCATCAACAGATCTGGAGCTGCGCTGATGGCACAGGCGCGGCAAACATCTGTCGTACACCCAAGAGGGCCAAAATCGAGAGGCCTGTGATTTCGCAACAAGATGCTTGGCGAAATCTGTGCAAGTATATATTGAAAAAACGTCTGCCCCTGTTGGCCCTAAGATATCCACCCTTGACGCGTGAACGCCAAAAGTTGGACAACCGTCAACCTCCCAAAGGGATGAGTCTTTGCAAGCGACTCGGTCTGGATCCCATGAAACAGCACCGGGAATGGCGATTCCGAAGCTCAAACCTTCGGCATGTGGGTGTCCCAAACTGAAGCCTTGTTTGTATGTCAGGTTTTACCTTTGCTCCCTTTGCAAATCATAGAAATCAGCAGCCGGGGCTCTCAAGTTTCAGGACACGTGTAACGCCCACCTTGATCCTCCATTTGGTTGTTGTTTCCTAATGGGGAACACTCTCCGAAATTGGTCGGTCGGTAGAAATCTCTATATTTTAAAGATGTCTTCCAACAGGTCTCATTCCACGGTTTTGAGACTTCCCGACACATGAAGATGCTTGGGTTTCCCTTGGTTTTCCTTTGACCCAGCCAGGAGGTTCAATTCCTTCCACTCAAACCTCATAGCCCATTTGGGTGCCTTTTTTAGAGGACCCAGAAACGGGTGATGTCCCTTTTGGTTCGGCTTTAAAACCAACCAACAGGGGGTACCCACCAAACAAAGACACACCGAGAAGCCCTCGCCAGGCCGCTTGTTAGCCTGGATCGCCTCGAGACTCCGGTGCCTCGACATGGTGTACTGCAGCGGCAGCGCCATGTTGCTTTGGCCGCTGCAGTACCACCTGAGTCAGAATCGAAACCTGGTACAAAAATGGTGTCTTCTAGCACCATGTAAGGAATTGAAAAGGCCGCAGCACCCATGGCTGGGATTGTCCCTTACTAACCTTCATCTACCCGGGTTTTGATTGAGGCTCACCTGGGCCCAAAACACCCCCGGGCGCTGGACAAAAGCTTCCCCCGGCGAGCCTTGGGGAGGCCCAGCGAATGGATCAAACCTGGTTGAAACACTGCAAACATGGGATCAACGCTGGGTTGAACCAAACCATGGTTGAGTGTCTCAAAATAAGAAAGCGATTGTTAAAAGTGGGTTTTTGCGTGAAAGCAACAGACAACCTGCCAGCTGGAAGGCGTTTTTCAGTTTTGAGACATACTTACATGACAGACTGCACCGGGCTTTCTCTCACTGAGCCGCACATCGCCGAAGGTCACGTGGCGCAGCTCCTGGGATGGAACTCTCCCAGCGAACTGGCTTGCTCTTGGAGCCCCAGAGTCGCAATCGTGGGAAAAAAACTCTGACATGGCCAGGGGTCAAAATCCAAATCGTAACCCCAGGGAACATCCCGATCCCCACTAAAACAGACTAAAATGGGTGGTGCACATGCCCAAAAAAATGGTACCATTAGTTTTGACCCACGGCCAAAACATCCACCCAGTGTCCTTTCCATATTTGGGCCCATTTTGCCTCCCGAAATCCATACCTTTGTCGGACTCCCCGGAGATGACAAGGATTCAAAAGTCGCCAGACGCTGCCTCTCCAAACTCGTCTCCTGACGCAGCCCAGTATCACTTGCCCAAAGGTAGGGCATGGGCCTAAAGGACACCCTGTGTTGAAAAAGCGAATCCACTGCAAGCCCAAAACTCAGTTCCAGGCCAGGCCAGTGCTCCGCTTTCAGTCAAGGGAAGGTTGCAGCCGGGACTGGGAAAAACATTATGTTGTATCTGGGCATGTGCAACCATATCTTTCCGCTTGTCTGCAACTTACAGTTTGCACAAGCGCTTCTCCCCATGGATTTTGTTTCCCTCGAATCTTCAGGTTTGCCTGGGTGTCTTCCCTCGCACACTTGCAATCATGTGTTTCAGAGCCCAAGGAGAGCTGGCCAGGCTCGTTTGGGGCAAAGGCTCCTCATATTTGGATGTGGGTCAAAAACATGTACCACAATGGCACCAAGGTAAATGGAACCAAAGAGTAAAACCTGCGTAACCCTAGTGTCTAAACAGCCCGAAACGCGGTTTGACCAAACTGGCGAGCTCCAAGCAAAGGCTCCTTTGACCTTGGCACTTCCCCAACAAGAAACAGAATCACAACCAGAACCAGAAGCAGACCCAGAACGAGAACGAGACCCAGCAAGAACAAGAACAAGAACAAGAACACGAACACGAACACGAACAAGAACAAGAACCAGAACCAGAACCAGAACCAGAACCAGAACCAGAACCAGAACAAGAACAAGAACAACAACAACAACAACAACAACCCCAGGATTTCAACTGCTTCACACTGGCCAAAAGCTTGACTTGTTGGTGGGGGAGTTTCGGTTGCCAAGGAATCCATCTGGCAACCATTGGGTCGGTCTTTTTTGGGGGTGCCCCTTTTGGTCTGTTTTAAAGGGCAAGCAAACAGATTTTGGGATTCCCCCCCCAAGCTAGACCTATATCTTTCCAGGGCCACCCCGAGCCAAAGCACTTCACCGCAAGACCTAAGGCGGTCAGAGGCGCCGCCGTCGCGTTGCCCCCAGAGGCTGTGATGGTCCAGTCGCCCCCCGGTGGCTGCGCAGGCAGCCGGGCGTGCCACCGGCCATCTTTCACCGTGGCCTGGTCTCATGGCTTGTGTCAAATTAAGGACTTAGGGTAGTCTTTGGTTCCATTTACCTAGGTGCCATGTTGGTACATGTTTTCGACCCACAGCCTTATGATCAAGGACAGTGCCATGGGTGTTGGAGATAATGGATGCTGGTACACCACCAATAAAAGCTGGAAAGGCAGCACGTACCCCTTGTATAAGGGAAGATCCATACCTCCCATACCTGAAACTGCCAACTTGATATGGCTACTCTGTCAACGGGGATTCCCTTGGTACGGAAAGTTGCCTACCCCAATTATCTAAGGCGTTGGAGAACATCCTTCTCAACAACAACTGAGAATCTGGGAAACATCCTAGCATTCCTCATCCGGCTTGTCGCCAACGATACAATACAAGCAAGACCGCTTTAAGGCACCCAAGGATTGCCTTGGTTTTAACCAAGTTCGCGGCTGAGTTTGTTCCAGGTTCTTGTTCAGAAACGGAAACCAGCATGAAACCGACCATGTGAAGGCCTGATGTTGGCACTGGGTTTGGAACTTGGGGTGTATAGCTGGCTTGTGCAAGGGATTCAGGCTCGCCTGTCAGGCACACTTAGCTGCGTCCGTCAGTGGACTCAAACTTTGCGGGCGTGCCTGTTCAGTGTGATTCCCCAAGTTTTGTGAAAGGCCCACGATGAATCCATGGAGCACCAGCCAACGAGGATAGCAACATGTACACGGGCAACAAGTCACAAGATGCCACAATTTTCACCCCACTGGCCTTGGTTGCTGCTGACCCCTCTGCAAAAAGTTTATCTTTCTGTGGGTCCACTGGAAAATCCACTGTCTCCCAAAAAGTTAAGTCCAAAAGACCCCAACCAAATTTCCACAAAGTTCCAGTAGCATTTGGTCCCCCCACCCAGTTCCATGCCTGCACACGCAGAGTGCCCAGGGTCACAATCACGGAGCTGGCATTGCCCGCATCACCGAAGAGCGCGGCCTGGGATAGAAACACCTTGGGACCTCAACTCAGATGCCCAGTGGCCATGGGAAAAAAAGGGCACCCTTTTTTTGGTTGGTTGTTTCAAAGGGGGACCTTCCCCAAAAAAAGGAAAACAAAAAGGCACCACTTGGCAACTGAGTCAACAAAGCCCCCTTTTTGAGAAAATGCTCCGGAGATCAAGATGCCTCCAATGGAAGCTCTGATGCTTAGGGCAACTTGAGGACAGACGGTGAGTGAAAGGCAACCAACTGTCCGCGTTGGGCTGCAAAAGGGCCACACACGAAAAGCAGAGCGCCGTGCAGTTTCTCGTGCATTCTGCCAACAAGTTCTTGGAGTCATTAACATGCTCACAACCCCGCTTTTGCTCTGAAAGAATGATTCGATAGTTATGAGAAAAAGTGTCCAGCTCGAGGAAGATGTGGTTGGCTTTGTTTGAGGATACCCCTTTTTTGGGTGCTGTACTCGCAGCACCACGACCAATATTGGGCCAGACCAGTACATGTTTTGTGAAATCGGGGATCTCCTTCTTTGCCCGTATCATTGTTGTCCAGATTCACCCTTCAGTGGTACATGCTCTCACTGACCCCTAGAAGAAAGGGGTGTCCAATCACAATGGCACATTGGTTTAAAGGTAAACCCAACCCAGTAGATCCATTTCCCTGTATAGGTAAGCAAGGGAACCAGCCTATAGCCAAAAGGCAAAAAGCTAGTTATCTACAAGGGTAACTGGGATCTGGGTAAGGCAACCCACCAAGAAGTCTCTCCCCATGTCAATCCATGGGTCAAAAAAAAAGCCCCCGCGCCAAGCCGCGCCTTGCTGGGCTCCCGCTGCAACACCGCGAAGTCCCCGAAGACGCCGGAGAAGCTGACCCCCAAAGCGCCTGAAACGCCTGGAGCCCAGTGGGGTGGACCTGGTAAAAGACACCTTTGTGACAGGCTTGACTTTTGGGAAGTGCCACTGAACAAATGGCTCCAGCGTTGTCTTTCCTAGGGTCGGACCAAAAGAGCCTTTTGGTCAACCCACCAATTTCATGTTTGCCTGGAGGCTTGCCCAGGCATAGCGGACAGATTTGCGCACATACAAAGCGCGAAATCATCAAGAAGGAGTATCTGCTTCTCTGACATGCTCGCCAAAACTCCCATGACCAAAGCACGGCCCCTTCTCCGTCCCAGGGTATATTCCACCTTGAGTTGCAAGCAGCAAGCATCAACCAGATGTGTGCCGGCGAGTTCCTGTGTTGTTTCTTGAATTCATATGTGTTGAAATCACGCTCTTGGGCGCCTAGACTCGCTCGAGGGCCTGGTGTTTCTATGTTGGATTCTCGCCTGGGGCCACCAACAGGGCTCCCAGAATGCAAGCTCGAAACATGCGGGTGCCAGATGAAACCGACGTGTTTTGTTGCTTGCAAGCACGGCTTACTCACTCCCTGGTCCCTTGCTTGGTCGAAAGTCCAAGATGAGTAATTCCAAAATAGAAACAGCTAATTGATATGAATTCAAATAAACAACGCTCTGATTCCATGCCGGCTGCCTCCCACCCTGGAAAAGCTGAGCGAATGCCCCACGCGTGCAGCAGGTTGATTCTTTCCCTGGAGAACATTTGCATGTGATTTTATTTACACAAACAACATCGTCATTATCACCATTGACAGAATATGTTTGGTTAAAATCCTTCAAAGCAAGCTTCAGTTTGCTGCGTGCTATTGTCCTCCAACATGTTCCCCGTTGGAAACCCGCGTTTCAAATCCTCAAACCAATCCAAACCGCAAATTAAGAAGCAAACAAAGTGAAATAAAGAACCCAGCAATCAATTGGCCTTTCATTGGCAATTTGAAAGCGATACCTTCCTTTTCACTTTCAACAGAAACGGTTCACATCCACGAAGCATCAAACCAAAACTCCACTTTTTGGGGCCTCCCTGAACGAAGATGGGTTCTGAGCAAGCCCGAGGCGCATTCCTATTCCTAATATCACACTTCCAACCTGACACCTCCCAGGGACAAACCGCATAGCGTCGCTGTTGGGGAAGCAAAATTGTTTAAAGCACAAACTGAGGGCTCATGATATTCCTCACATGAGACGCAAAATGGTGGGTTGCCTTTGGGTTTTGCTTTCAAACCACCCGAAACATATGGTACCCTCAAAAGACTACAACCCCACTCACTTCCTTGGTGGATCGGCCAAACAAGTCAAACGTATGTTGTTTGCCACTAAAATGGTCTTCCCCTAAAAGTGTTCAGTCCAGGAACTCAGAGAGTGAGCAAAAGAACACACCCCTTCTGAAAAAGCCGAATCCTCCCGAGGTTCGCACCGGCCAAGGCCAGGATGGGCCGCATGGCTCGAGGCGTGCGAGGCACCGCGGCACAGGTCTCAAATGAGCTCTGCACTATACCAAGTGCCATCTTTGTTTAAGATATGTCCAATGTGTTATCCTTTGTTTACTAACTTAACCTTGCAACAATGTACAATGATTTTATTGTGTTGTTTGTCTTGGTAGCGTCTGTAGCACATAACGACCTGTCCATGGTCTTGTTCTTCCCAACAAATACATCAAGGACAGGAGTCCTTTGGTGTTGCTTGCATTGTCAAGTAAGGACTCTTTCCAAAAAACAAGGGAGTGACAAGCGGTCGAGTGCACGTGACGCTTGAAAGGGCTTTGCTCATCGATCCATCCCAGTTCCAAAGATGCCCCGATTCCAATCAGAGAACGACCAACACCACGGCAATGTGTTGGCTTTTGCATTTTAGCAGGTGGAAAGCAAAAGCCAACCTGGGGGTGAGTAGTAGTCCCATTTTCGCTCGGTCGGATGTCCATTCGAGGCGGGGCGGTTTCAAAGGACCAAATGGACACCTAGCCACAATCACAAGCTGGAGAAGCGCACAACCCAATCTAAAGAATAGACATTTGCCAGAAACCCCTGCTTTCTGTTCACACAACTCCAGCTTTTGAGGGCTGCTGATCTGGAGGGCTGCGGAACCCAATTGACAGTCGAGGTCAACCCTGCCTTAGGGCCCAAATAGGCGCGGTAATCTGGACGCCGTGGTGCTCCGGCCCAGCCTGACTGCAGATGTGGCCTCCTACTATGAGGACCTCAACAATCGGGAGATATCGGGTGTGTGTGTGTGTGTGTGCGTGCGCGTGAATGTTTCTGTGTGTGTGTGTGTGTTTTTGTGTGTTTTCTTGCTTTGTGTGTTTTGCGGGGGAACAAGTGGACCCATTTTGAGACATACCCAATTAGTCTGGGGTTGTGGGGTATGCTGAAACCAACCTAAGTACTGATAGTGCGAATCAACTTTTGGTCGTTATTTGGACACATGTACTCCTAAGCCTAAGCACTCATCTGGCCCACATATCTTGTAAACGATAATTCAGCAACATGAGATACAGAATACGGGCGCCTCAAGCAAAACACTTCCATCATGGGTGAGGCTGCAATCCCCCTGTGCGAGGTCGTAATGACTATAGGTCCTTCTACTCCATAGACCTCTGTCGGCGAAACGGACACGCCGGGTAGACTTGTGCGCAGCCATCCGAAAAGGGAAGAAAGCACGCGAACATCCCCAAAAGCCATTGCCTTCACATGCGGAAAAACAACCTTGGAGACGCCTGAAAGGAAAATGGCCCGTCCGTGCACATGCCTGCGCGGTGGCAACCGGTCGGATGGAACTATCAAGCAGCTTTGCCGCTTTGTTTTTTTTGCCCTAAAGAGGTCCGGCCAGAAGCTCCGCGGAGGTATATACCTGACGGGTGCCTGGAAGCGTCTGACCATTTTTTTTTGCAAGTGGCAAATCGGGAACAGCGAAACTTCGCTAACCAGGCGACCAACGTGACTGGGTCATCCCCTTGTGAAACATGCCGCCTCTTTGATTTGTGGTTCAACAAGTGTTGAGATGGTTAGACAAGAGTGCTTTCACCACTAATCAAGGGTACGGTTTAACGGTTTAACCCAGTGGTTACTCTCCTGACTCAGGGCTCCTTGGAGATGATCTTCCTCTTCAAACGGGGCCATTTCTCTGGTGGGTTCCATGTGGACAGGAGACAACGTCTCCAAAGCATCGAGCTGGGGTTCACGCCAGTGTGGGCAGCGTGGCCTGAAATCTGGAGATGTCACCTTGCCGGCCGGAGGAGTTTCACTCGTAAATCTCTCTGTGTGTGTGTCTTAAAAAGGCACCCTCCCACCAAAGGGGCTCCTAGAAGGCCATATTCCTTTTAGAGGGACCCCTGTCAGGTTCCATGTTACTTGGTGGGTACCATTTTCATCAAGGAAGCATGCAGGAAGACCCACATCCATTTTGCCATTTCGACACCCAAACCACAAGATGCGTCAAATTGCTGATGGACTGCCACGTTGGCAAGGAGCTCCCAAAAAGATCGAAACTTCAGGGATGGGCACAGACCCACAACCCCCCCCCCCCAATAAAGTTTCATGCCATTTGAAGAGCTTCTCAAAATCGATGGACCTCCTTTTGGTTGGTGAAAGGGACACCAAAAAGGACACCAACCAGTTTTGGCGACCCCTATAAAGGAGAAACACCTTTTTGGGTTGGCCAAGTGTAAAGAACAGCAGAGCTCTGAACTCATGTCTAGACGGAGAGAAAGAAGTTCAGCAACTCATGGGATGTTGGCCAACTACACAGGCCAACCGTTTGCAATCTAATTCGACTGGTTTCTTGAGTGGTGCTAGAATCTGGTTCTCATGCGGAGTGAAATGAACAAGCATGTGATTCATCGCCTCTCAGGATGCCGATTCGGTCCTGCAATTTCATTGATCTAGTCTTTCCCACAAAAAGACACTAAGATCACAAATCAATTCCAGGGGATACCCCAGTTCCGATCGAGAACATGCTCCAACACTAGGCAAGTGTGTCTGAGTGGGCACGTGTGCTCAAACAAGAAATTGGAACTTAAAGTCACTCCCTCAACATGACTCTTCCGGAGTGGTGCAAGTGGCATCAACCCCCAAAACTCCCAACATGCTGCCGCAATTCACTGAAGGACACCACACACACCAACTCTAACGCATCCGGGGCTAAGTTCAAAGCCTTACTTGCTTCCCCAAACTCAAAGTTCCATAAGAACGAAGCCTCCATAAGGTCACAAACTCTGCCGGTCAAAACGCCTGGCCACAGCAACATGTCTAGATTTCGCGGCCTGCGTGTGGGATCACCATGGAGACGCCGGCGACCCATTCCTGACGCCGGAAGGACACACACACACACACACACACACACACGCCTGCCCGTGAGAAAGGCGGAAAAGGGACTTGGCCTTTCTCTGGGTCTGCAACAGAACCCCAACTCAAAGTAAAAAGAGGGTGCCGCTACGTAGCTATCTCCAGACTCAGCTGATTCACACATCAGCCGACGGGGCTTGGCAGAATGGAGCCGCCGGGAGACCGCTTGGCCTGTGAAAACCTGACCATTGGAGAGTCACATTGCTGGCCAAAACATTTTAGGACTCTGAAGGCAACTGATGGATACCACGTACTGATGGAAACTAAAGGAACCACCTTTTGGTTTTCACACGATACATTATATATATCTTGTGCACTTCTGCAGGCACATGGTATGTCGGCCCGCGGGAATGAAGCATTCCCCGACCAGCAAATCAAGGCGCTCGATGTTTCAGCTGGTCGGTGTGGCAGGGTGTGGCAAACTCGTCCAAAAACGGGAAATCATTTGAGGGCGCCCAAACTCTTGGCGGTGCTGCCAAGGGAACGACCAATCATAGAAAACCACAAAGAGCGGAAAAAGAAGGCGCCAGAGGCGCCGTTAAGGGCTAGCCCGCGAAAAACTGTTCCATTGGCCAGTCCAGTGGTCAGATCTGATAACGGCAAAGCAGGCCAGCGCTAGGACGCTTCTGGCCATGCAAAGCGTCACATGCTGAACGCACGAGTTTTTGTTGGACGGTTTCTGGAGTTCTGGAGCCTTGACCTAAGAACTGGTCCATTGTGCTGATAGCTACTGGCGCCAGGGGAAAGAACGGAGCTTCGGTCAAACCAAGCAAACGAGATGGGTGAAGGCCAAATTTACTCCAAAAGGGATCCTTACATTGTACACCTGAACATTGCCTTGTAAATGGTGGTTTCCCTTTATTTTGGTGGAAAAAGCCATGTTCCAAATGGGCAAAATGTATCTTTTTAGGAGCCCTGTCCAAGGATGGATCTCTTCTCCTCTGGCCCTGATAATCGCAGCGAGTTCAATGGCCAACACCTCGCCCTGTGTCCTGAGATGTGTGCTTTGCAACCCTTGGAATCCACCGAGTCTGAAGCAATTTTCAGGCCTCCAGTCAGGTTCCATGATATTCAGCTCCAACAGCAATGAGCATGAGCTCCAACAGCAATGAGCAACTACCCTCATTCCAACATGGAAGTGCACAGGCGGCTTCCCAGCAAAAAGTAGTCTTCCAAATCCCTCCTGTCAGCGTCCACGATTGTTGGAGGGTAAATGCAAAACGAAAAGGAAAAGTTCGAAGTGTGGTTTGTGGTTCCACCACTACACCAAAACGTATACAAGTAATACAAGTTGCAGGTCAGGTTGGCGCAAGTCAGCCAAATCCCTCACGGAACGTGCGGAACATGTGCCGAATGCGCCTGCTCCTTGACCTGCTGCTCCAACTGCTCAATGCGCTGTGAGGAGCTCTGGCTCTCTGAGCGCAGACGCTCCTTACCCAGTCGGAGTCTTGCAGTCTTGCGTCTTGCGCTGGTGCCCTGTGAGACTTGTTTGTTTAAGGGGATCCCCCAAGGGGATTCTGTGCAACAAGACGTACGCGCGGTGTGCATGTTTGCATCTATTGGTGCATCATGTATTTTTGTCTATCTGTCAATCTATTGATGGACTCGAAACGATCCTACGGTCAACAGTATGGTGGGCAAGGGCAGCTGAATCTTTGTGAGTTTATGCGGGTCTGACATGTTTTCAGGGACCCCCTTGTTTGGTGATTCTAAAGCGAAACCAAAAGACATATTTTGTTGATCACCATGTTGGGGAGTCCAACTTCTAAATTAAGACATATCCACGATACGGCCGAAAGGAGCATCAGAATAAGATTCCATGTGAAGAGGCCATGGGCCACTAGCCTTCATCGAAGGGCAACTCTATCTATCCATTTGCTTCTCTGGTGCCACCAACAAAGCGGATGGGTCAAAACTGTATGTCCCTTGATGGATGAAATGTAGACGACTTCTTTTACCCGAGTTGACCACCAAAAGATGACGTTAACCCCTCAAACAAACCAACAAATAACGTAAGGAGCCCTATTCGAGGTACATCTTCAAGCAATTGGGAAGGAATTCAGGTTGGCCTCACACCCAATGTGCTCCCTAGCAGATTGTTCAATTAACGTCCTGAAAACATGCGGATGTATTTTGGATGAGCAAAGAAACAAGCTTCATTTTCTATTCCATATTTGAATTCTCACTGTGCAACTTCAAATGCCCTGGGAACCCAAATTGAAAAGGACAGGATGCAACCGGAAAGGCATCAACGAAAAGCTTAAAAGCTTGGCTTTGAACAAGTCCCCGGTTGCCCAGTGACCCTGCTTGGAACCAGAAAACAAGGGAAAACGGGCCCCACTGAACCGGGGGTCCCCATACATTCAGAACATTATCCAAACAAAACAATGGCCCGATGGCCAATTTGTTTCTTGACAGTTGTCTCAAAATGGGATTTTGGAACCCGCCCAAAAGAGTGGCTGTGCTGTGGCGTCCCTTTACACCACCCCCAAATCAGCTTCCCTATCATGGGTGGTTTGGATTGCTGGTTTGGAGCTTAGGGACTTGGGCTTCAAATCCCCAAACTACCAATCCAAACCAGCTTTCCAAGGGGCACCAAAAGAACCAGAAATAACACACCAGTCCCTTTTGGAGCCCCAAAAGGGAAAAGCCAAACGTCTATCCCAGAGCGACCGACCGGCCGATTCCGGTCCTCAAGCTCGTCGACGCGGAACTGCAGACGTGCCACTTCCTGAGCCCATGGGAGCTGGAGGCTGACCCATAGGCTGAACCAACTTGTAAATGGTGGTTGCCGGTTTCCCTTTAGTTTGGTGTTGAAAAAGCCACATGGTTCAAATGGTTGCAACATGATTTTCTTTTAAGGAGCCCTGCTGAACGAACATAAATCCGAGCACTTAGGAGGATCGAGGCTTTCCACTGACAAAACGCCAGGGTAGAATAGCAGATACATCTGCTATATAACGGTTTCATAGTGGTTATATACAGGATCCTCCTGGAAAAGAGTCTATGTCAGTCTATGGCTTGAACAAATCAACTCAAGTCGTCCCACTTGTGGCTGGCGGCTTGAGCCGTTGTGAAACCACATCGAGCTCCCCTTTTCCAGACCCACACACTACCATCACAACCAGCACCAATCCCTGGTCTTTCATTCAGAAACTACCTGAGACCTGAGCTCTTGCTAAACTATGCATCCTGGTTTTGCGATGCAACATGTCACAAGAGATCACAGGAAACCCGAAAAAGAGTCGATGACTGCGTTGTTGGATCCAAACTAAGGGCATAGCGTTGTGCAAACTGACCCATTCGTGGTCGACAACAACCTAAACATAGGCTTGCTCACAAAAAGAGGAAAAATGCCAATACATTGGAAGACATGGCCTTTTCTCCAAGGGCCCTAGAAAACTATTGGAACTCAGGTTGATGGTGGTTCCCCTCTATCAGTTTGCCTCAACCAGGGGCTGTTGTTAAGTGAGAAGGTAAGGTACACCATGGTGCTGGCCCGATAGTGAATGATGGAGACGCGATTGCTACTGAAATTCTGGGACTGGGTCTGGCTGGTAGTGGGAGTGTGCTCTCTGGTATTCCCTCAATCGAACAGCTGAAAAAGGCAGCCTGGATAAGATTACACCCGCTAAAGTAAAAGGTCACTGTCAGTGGATAGTGGTAGAGTCCGAATCACGCACACACACACACACACACTCATCCCTCGTCACAGCTAGGTTTGATCAATAGGCCGCCCATGAAAACATGAAGATGCAAAGCTGGAAGCCGGACATACTCTTTCAGGCTATGAATCCCACGTATCAACACCGGTGAAGGACAATCAGTGCGCCTTGGCAGGATCTAGCGTTCCAACCGCACGTGATCAGTCGGCCGCGTACAAATTTGTCTGAACTCCAGACACCAATAGGAATGTTGTTGTTATATCATAGGCAACCCACCCTCCAGACGCTCTCCACGCAGGCCGTAGTTGCCTGTACATGCACTTCACCATGTTGGTAAATGCCCTCCACATGCAGTGTCCGCTTTTGTAAGGCACGCCTACCCAGGCTACAAACCGTTGCCTGGTCCATCAGCGCGGGCTCCCCAACGTGTAGCCCAACTCATAAGTTACATGCTGTGGATAAACGAAATCCTGCACCACCTGAGAAACCCTGAAATTATGACTCCCCTGCAAATACCAACAAACAATGGTTTCTCATGGTTTCAAAGTGGTGCGAAACGGACTTCGTCCACAGTCTGATCCGCTTGTGGATCCCTAGTTTTGTGCCGCCCCGCACCTCGCAACGACGTCCATTCCTCGTCACTGAGGCAAACACACCCGATGCCTGGCCTCCCACAAGCATTCCGGGAAAGGGGTTCCCGTCTAAGAATAGCACATAGCAAACGGCAAAGTACTCATTTGAGCCTTTTGGCAAACGGTATGCCATCTGTTTCCAGTCAAACCGAGACGCCTGTGGATGGACAAAAGCCTGCACCACTTTGAAACCATAAGAAACCATATTTGTTTGTTGGTAATTTTACAGGGGAATCATGCCATGGCTTCTCGGGTGGTGCAGGATTTCGTCCATCCACAGTATGGCAGTGATTTCAACGCAACTGTGGGTGCACGCGCCTGCGCATGTTGGATCCTCATCTCCGCGATGGTGCGGTCGCGGGCGGACACCTCGGCCGAGCGGGCGCGCTTGGCTTTTTGGGTCGCTACTTGGGCGTCCCGTTTTTTGGGGTCCCCTTGACACCGCAAAAAAGGGGTACCTAAAAGTACCGAAAACAGATGACACACCCACGTTCAAGCTGCGTAGGTGGATGATAACTGGAAGAGCCGCTGGTTCGTACTTGCTTAAACCTTCAACCCTACTCGATAGACCTCGTTGAACGAACGGGAAAGTAAAAAGCTGGCGCCCAGATCAGGCTGCACTTGCAATGAGGTATTCTCCAGGCCTGGCGTGTAAATCGCAAAGCCTTGACAAAGCAAGTAATCATATTGTGTTGAGCCTTGTGCCAAATGATGTGTTTCGCGGTTGCTTGCCTCAGAATAGCCGCCACTCAATAGCAACGCAGCTCGTTTCTCGGCATACAATCTGAACCCAGGAGTTGCTTCACTCTCCAGGAATTGCTTTACTGTTGGGGGGAACATGTCATTTGGAATCCGCTGGATCCCTTACACTCCTGAAAGAAAGTGGCCTTAACATGGGCTATGCAGTGTCATTGGATGATGTGCGATGAATTGAACAAATAGCAATCCAGCGTTCGCGGAGCCTGTTGACTAGGGGTGCCACCCGAGGTAAAGGAGACCCCTCAACTTTCTGATGTGCCCATCTGTCAGGTTGATGAAATATATCCAAGACTTGTCCCAATTAATTGCATGGTCAAACTCATTTCCGGAGTATTCTCACTCCTTAGGTGGGTCAGACATGGTCCGCTCGACTCGTCCCCCCCCCAAAAAAAAAGATGGGAGGGGCTTCCGGCTTCCGAGCCGCCCATGGAAAATCGCCGGCGACGAACACATCTCTCCGCCTCGTGCTGCCCTCGGAACTGGAGATCCTTGATGTGCCGCTCCTGAGACATCAACCCAACTGCCCCTGCGTGTCTCTGCGACCGCAAAGGCTTCGGATTCGTCGAACTTTCACCCACGGATTTGTTTCGTCGGGGGTCATTCCAGGGGTTCAGATTTAGACATGTCGGATTTGTTTCATCAAAAGTCATTCCAGGGTTCATAGACTTAGATATGTCAAGTACACACGGGGAACCATTGGTGATTGACCTGACCCCTTTTCAGCTTTGGGCATAAACAAAGCGCGGTCGAAAAGCGGAGAGCCTGAAGGCAAACCCCAGTTCCTGACTTTGCAAAGTCAACCCCTCAAACTATCCAACGGAGGACCGACGCGCCACTGTCAAAAAAGCGCTCCTCGCCTTTGGCCGAGGTTTCCCCAAATGGGCCAATGCGTGTTGACACACGTTCATGTGGGTTGAGCGCATCGATCAGGCTGGGCTTTGGCCATTGTAGCCGGAAACTTTAAAGGAAACCATGAAGCCCAGAACATGTTGACACAGTCCAAGCTCAGAACGGACCCGCATATATCAAAGGAAGGGTTTGCCCGCTTGGGGTTTGTAATGATCCAAGCCTTTGTTGGAGGGTCCAGGCGCATTTTCCCAGATTGAGAATATCACTCACCATTGTCTGCTACGTGCTGCTTTCTTGAAACTTGCACATTTCGCGCGGTTACTGTATCTGTGGACATTTCCTGGACATCAGAACCCCTTGGGACGGCGTACGGAGAGAGAAAGGTGGTGCGTTCTTTCCCAAAACCCAAAGGTATCAAAAGAAAGGCAACCAAAGGGACGTGTTGCTGAATGCTCCGCTTGGCAAGACCACAATCAAGAGTTGTTGCTTAGCAAAGTTGACCCATGTTGCCCATTGCTCCTCCCAAATACCAGAATCGGAGCACCATTTTGTGGTTCACCATTTGTGCGAGTCCCGAACCTACCGAATGGACAAAGGGTGGAATCCACCCCAGGCAGTGACCATAAGGAGGAAAGGGGCACTCTCTTGCTTGCTTGCTTGCTTGACTTTTAAGGGACCCCCCACCTACAGAAACAAAGGAGGGCACCTCTTTTCTTGGCAGTTCAAGACGCCTCTCCAAAGCAAAAGGGAACGGAAACAACCCACAGGCCAACCCAACGGGCCCAAGAACAAAAGGAAACCACCAGGTCTGGGCCACACAACTGGGCGCCCAAAACAAACGAACCTACGGACCTACGGATTTTCCGGATCGCCTGGACCTCCAGCTCCGCCAGGGGCGCGAAGGTCACTTGCCCCAGGCTGGTGGCCTGGGTGACTCACAAGGGCCGCCAAGAATTCGACCGATTGGGGCCAACGGCCCCCGCCAAAAGCGCCGGAAGTCCAGCGGTTCAGCTTCGAAATGCAAAAAAGAGTCCTATGGTTGTCAAAGGCCTCCCGCTCCCAATCCTACTGACCTACTGGCCTTGTCGCACCTGCCTTATGGGTCCATGCCCCAGGATTCCGCCCAGGTCCAAAGGCCCAGAAGGCTTGGAAGGTCAAGGCAAAGCACATCCGGACCAACCGCTGTGAACATGGGAAAAACGTTAAATGACATTGGGAAAAAACATGGGAAACACGCCCAGCAACCTAATCAAGGTTAAATAACATGAGAAGAAACAAATGCCGCTGTGGAACGAACTGAACCTGAGCTGAGAATCAGCACGCCAAGAGTCAAGGGCCCTGGACGTGCATGCTGTCAGCCTCCACCAAATGTATGAATCTTCAACCGGACAACTGGGCTATACTCGGCAGGCGTGGCGAATTTGGCAAACAACCAGAAAACGCAAAGCCGAGCCAGCCCATGCCCGCTCTGGGTTTCGGCAAGCGAGATGTATGTGTTTACCTCAGTTTCTCAGCTGGCTTGCGCAACTTGATTTGCTTCGGAAGATGATAATGCCACAATCAAGCTGTACATATCTCTTCAAAGCAGGCCTGACATCTCTTTACAGCTTTGCAGAGTACCTGTGAGCACTCGGCCAAAACCGTTTCATGACCTGCGTCAATGATCGTTTGCCCTGCTTCACCTACAGCAAGGGAGTCTTCCTGTCACAGTTTCCACTCGTTGGCGTGTGTGACTTCGTACGGCCACCAGGGAGGACTCTGCAAACCCATGTTCAATGGGTGCGTCTAGCAAAACAAATCATGTCCATCGAATTGTTCACCCAACTCGAGGGCAACGTATACTCAAATAGGTAAGAACAAAGATCGGATATTGGCAAAAAGTGCAAAAACTCGGTCGACTATGAATGCCTCCAAACATCGAAACAAGTCGATCTCTCTTATTGGGACATTGAACAACAAATTGAGACTTCTCTGGGAAGGAGATGGAACGGCTGAAAGGCAACGAGTCTCGCCAGCCAACCAGCAACACCAACCTAAATAAACTTGCTAACCAAAACACACATCCGCAATTTCGCACCAAAAGCAAACCGTTCTTTCTTGTTGGTAAATTCAATGACCCTGGCAAATGCAAACCAAACCATCTACTCCAGTGGAACCCATCTATTTCTAACCAACAGACCAAGCCCATCTACTCCGGAGGGGGGGGGGGCGGCTGCACATCTATGAATGAAAAAACCAAGGCGCGCAGCCACCCCCCCCCCGCCCGTCCCATCTCTCGCTCTCCGAAGGCTCCGCAGGCCCAGGGCCCCCTGCGGCGGCGCGGCGCGTAGCGTCGCACTCGTCGTCCAGGCGGTCCAGCAGTGACGAGAGGACGCGGCTGGCAAAGGCGCTTTGCGACAGTTGGGGGAGTTTGGTACAGACTCGAAAAACGCGTCGTTGTGTGTGTTCCCCTCAAACCCAAAACAGGCATCATCCTTTGTTTTCGCTGCAAAGACAGAATGTTCAAAAGTTTGCAAGCTCGGCAGGCAAAGAAAAGGGAGCAGTCATGATGAAGAGTAATTGATCATGAGGTTGCAAATCAGATTGGTAAGGTTGTGATATAAGTTGCCCGGATGATGCTTAGCGTGAAAGTACATCCACATTGGGGGGGCTGTGCGTGGTTCAAGGGAAGCCAAAAGGAAACGATCCGCTTTGCTGGGTCCCTGTTGCGAAACACGCCTATGGTTCTGGTCTTTTGTCCAAGGGTGGGCGGACTTTTCTTTTTGGTACTTCCCAGGATCCATACTGGGAACCCCACAGCATTTTCAACGGGAACTTCAAATGGACCCCCACCCCCCAGCCCACCCAGCCCGCCGGAACAGGCCCACGGGGCCTGTCCCCGCGCCCGGCCAGCTTGCCGAGCGCCTCCGTGGCAGCACAGCGAACCCGTGCCTGAGCCAACTTGGAGAGAACATCTTCGAATTCGAAGGGTTTTGAGGGGTGGAAAAACTGGGAACTGGCGAGTCAACTGGAAAAACGGGGAACTGGGAGACCAGGAAAGCTGTTTGTCATTGTGGTGCTGGTAGAAACATCTAACATAGATGTTCGAATTTCCTGTTCAGTCTCCATGGCCAGCCCCTCCCACGTCCCAACTCCATGAGCCACATGTTTTGACTGGGCACATGTGCACTTACCCCACGTGATGCTAACATGCAACATGCCCACGTCCCAAGCCGCTCCGGGCGGTCCCGGGCACTCCCTTTCTCTGTCCGAGCGGCATCGCGGTCCTCGCCGAGCTCTATCATGCGGCTGAGCACCTGTCAGCACGCAAGGGTCGACTTGATATCCAGCGTGGTGTTGTCATGCACGTCGAAATGAGGCTTGAGAAGGTCTGAAACATCTTTGCATGCCACAAGTCCCACCGCGTTCGAAGTGCGTTAGAGAATGCGGTGCCATGAATAGTGACTATGGCTAACCCCATGCCTCAACTCAAATAGGCAATCAAACCGCGGAACGCATCTGATGAAGTAGGCAAGTGAAACATAGCTGCTGCAATAGCTTTCCCAGGTGCGAGACGTCAGTCCTGGACGCGTGGGCAGGGGCTTTGGGGGGGCACTCAAGTACGGACAGCAACGACTGTCCAGCGCTACGCCGAGCAGCTGTGGAATTGCTAAGATCTATGTCAGTTGAACGTTTGTGAAGTGGCTCGTTTTGGGCATCCCGGTGTGCCGCCTTGAAAGGGGCAAGAAAGGTCAATTGCGTGGACGTGCCACATGTTGCAGGAGACTTCTTGGGCCATGTGTGTGTGTGTGTGCGCTTGTGCAACCTGAAGCTTGGATTTTATGGATCTCTAGAAAACGGTTTGGATGTGGCTTTTGCGGACCCACACATGTAGGAGGAGAGTACCAAAAGATTACTAAAAACGAAAACCGAACGGGGGGAAGAACATGTGAAATCCACAAAACAGAAAACGTGTACCCCGCTTTTAGGTACTCCCTGCAACCAGTGCAAAATGAACGTGCCCATCACTTCAACCCCGCCTGCGTGTTGCCCTCCTCGGCCAATCTGCTGAGCACCTCACGGAATCCGCGCAATGCAGAGGTCCAACCGCCAAACACTTGGATGTTCAACTGTGGGTCGCAAGGTTAGTGAGACAAAAGTTTAAAAGGGTTCAATCTATAATAGTAAAGACCTCAGGGCTGAATGCGATTTGGGAAACTTGGCCCCTACAAGTAATGGAGGACTTGAGACCCCTGTAAGGGAGGCCAAACTGTTTGCCCATTGAGTAGTTGCAAGTTGGTCGGGAGGCATCTTCACTCTGCGTATGTGTGTGTGTGTGCCCGTGTGTCTGTGATATCTCTGCGTCGGTTTGTGTCTGTGTCTTTGTCCGTGCCCATCCTTGTAAACTGGGGTTCGCATTTGGGATGAAGAACCTTTCCAGAGCTATTTCAAAGGGCCTTGATGACACGTTGCTGAAATGTCCGCAGGATGATTGCTCAAAGGGCGCCAAGTGAGACTGGAAGTGCGCGCCTCGACAGACCACGAAGCTGAGCCAGTGTGAAATGAGATGACAAAGAACCAACAGAAAGACCAGCGCAAGGGGCTCCACCTTCTCCTTTCCCTCCGATTGTGTCTCTTTTTGAGGCTAATTACCCCCCTTGTTCTGTGGTTTTATTTAAAGGGAAACGAAAAGAAAAGGAAAACTGCCATTTGGCCATGGGTCAAAATCCCGTACCCCCAGTGAACATCCCAATCCCCTCTGGGTAAAATAGACTAAAATGGGTGGTGCACCTACCCCAAAATGGTACCATTGGTTTTGACAACCACAGCCATTTTACAGGGGTCCGATTCCCCGAAAAAGATACACCCAACTGTAGTTCCACAAAAAACATGTCCCGACTATTTTTGCCCTGGCCTCCGCGGCACTGTGCCGCACAAAGGCTTCCGTGTCGTTGCAGCGGGCGAAGACCGCCTGCATCACCTCCCCGGCAAAATGGGTTTAGGGTGTCGTGACGGCAGCTGGTGACACCAGGGATGGTGAAAAAACAGGGATCCTTACATTATACACCTGAACATTGCCTTGTAAATGGTGGTTTCCCTTTATTTTGGTGGAAAAAGCCATGTTTCAAATGGTTGCAAAGTGTATCTTTTAAGGAGCCCTGAAAAAACTGGGGGGGGGGGGGGTTCGCGGGGTCAAAAAATCAGGCATGTGCAAAGAGGAATGGGCGTCTCAAGCTCTGAAGTTGCAGCCATCCCAAGGCCAAGTGTCTCAAGCAGAATTCCCCCCATAGCCGGGTTTCGCCGTCGACAAAACGGCAAACGGTTTCTCAAATCCGCCCATGCCTTAGCGTCCTGCTTCTCGGCGACCTGGCGCAAGGGCGAGAGCCAACGAGTTGGAGCCTGTCGGTTTTTTGGGGTCGATTGAGTTTGAACCCAGCCACCCAAGGGAAAACCGGATGGGGTAAGTTCATCCTCTGGACAACTGGGTCAAAATGGAAATGGACGCTTGGTGCCCGTTTACGGCAGGCCAACGCAGGTACCACGGAATTACAGGCATTGCTTTTTCGAGTGGGTGATTGTACCCGTCGACCCCGGGCAGGGCTACAAAGGGAGAACTGGCTCGGTGCGCAGTTTCCGTCAAGTTGAAATCTAGGGCTCTGTCAGTTTACCCTTGCCGCATTGAGGCCCTTGTCACAACCTCTCATGGCATAGAGGTTCAATTGATGCATAAACAGGACTTTGGCAAACGCATTGCTCGCCCTGAGTCACGCCAATGTGACGTCACCTGTGTATAGTGGGGGAGGATCTGGAGAGCCAGTGAACCTGTCACTCAATCTTTGAACAGGTACGAATTTGCACAAGGGCTCCAAACATTTTCCCCGGCTGCCTTCCATTTATTCGTTGAGTAAATCGTGTCTCAAACTTAGGGAGCTCCGAATGGTGAGTTCTATGGTGGGTAGGCAACAACGACCCCAGGTTAACCATGAGACCAAACGGCCTTTATTGACAATTGGGTGCGTCTTTGGAGCGAAACCTCTTTTGGTTGGCTTTAAAGGAGCACCAAAAGGACACCCATCATTTTGGGGGAAACCCAATTGGGTGTCGCTTTTGTTAGGACCCCCCCCGAAAAGAAAAAGAAAGGCTTCGGTTTTCCTTTGGCTTCCCTGTACCATAAAACGAAACTAGGGTACCCTCGAAAAAAGCCGAGCCATCTTGAGCAAGATGGTACCCCCCCTTTCTTGGCGGCTTCAAAGGCAAACCCAAAGCAACGCCCACCATTTCGAGATGTCCCCGGAAAAGCAAAAAACAAGTGAGTCTCAGCAACCCCTCCCCCCTCCTAGGTCCTCCAGTAGAGAGGTTAGAATAAGTTGGTACCCACTTGTTTTCTGTAGTCTACTTTAGTAGGGGAACCCTCCCAACCAAAAAAAGGAAACGGTAAAAGTTGGCACCTAGCTGGACCCAGCGGCCTCCCCACCCCTTGACTTTCGGTCGACCGTCGACCGTCGGTCGCCTTCTCCAGCGCCCTCAGCGCAGCTCGCCGCACCCCGCCGTCCTTGTCCTCCAGGCGCCCCAGCAGCGCCTGCGAGGGGCTCGGCAGATCCCAAATGCGGACGGCGGACGGATGCCCCAAATTGGTCCATTTGGCTCGGGGTCAAAAATTGGGTCACCCCAAAATGGGCTGCCCTGGGAAGTGGAAACATGGACTAAACCCTCGGGCCCCTGGTGGTTTAGTTTTGACCCATCCCCAACGAACGCGGGTAGGCCAAACTTGTCCATTAGGGTTAGTCACATTTGGGGAAATCCCCTATTCTTGAGCCGCACCTGTTTGGCTACGTTTGGGTGGCTGTGCGTGAAGTTGTTTTTTTGCAGAGAGGACATCTGCGCACCAGTTTCGGCAGCTTTTCGCCAATATATTTTGTGCCCAACAGGACAAAGGGACTCCTGAACAAGCATGGTGACCCATACTTAAAGGACATCTAAACTTTTGGGTTTGCGGCTTGCCCAGTCTAAAACAAGGACTCCCACGCCACCGAGCAAACTTGCCAACGGGACAGGGGTTGAGCCTGGCTTGCCCCAAAGATCCATTCACTGGTGGGTTTCAATAGCACTGCTACTGTTGGGGGGGGCACAACTTCCATGTCCGTGTTATCACTTTGAAGGGAATCTCTTCGGCCTTTCACGGAAAGTGGTACCCTAACACCCCTTATTTGCAGCTGATTGGCACAGGGATCTTAACAAAACTGAGCAAAGGCTGCCTGGCGCCTCCCCAAAATCAATCAACACCCACCACAACTTCTTGGTTTTGCCTTTTCATTTCGAACCGGCATAGCGGGGGATTAGTTATGCTTCCAGGAACTCTCAAAGCTCAACAACCCGAACATTCCACTTGCCCATGGAATTCCGCGGGCTGGGAAGGGTACCGAAAAAAACAAACCCATCCGAATCTTCCTTGAGGTGGATTCTCAAATTTGGAGAACCCTTTCTGCCTGGTTTAAGTTGGGAAATGAGGACGCAACCGCCTGGAGGAGCCCGAGTTTTCAGAAAACCCGCATTTGAAACGTAGCTTGTACTTCTCCCAATCCCCAAACTGGGTGTGAATTTTGGGCCACCTCCCGAATGGCTCCCCTCTCAATGGGTCCCGCCGCCACGGCGCTTTCGGTGCCCCTGCCGGCGACCTGGACCGCAACAAGAGAAACCCAGTGCCTTTAGCATGGCTGTGGCTCCCAAAAAGAGTAGGTCCTCCAGTAGAGAGGTTAGAATAAGGGTACCCTTTCTTCTGTAGTCTATTTAGTAGGGGAACCCTCCCCAACAAAAAAAGGAAAAGGGCACTATTGGGGGACCTAGAGTATCAGAATGGAACCTTGGCAAATGGAACAGACCGAAGCCTGCGGTTTGCGGTCGGCTCTTTAAAATTTCACCCCAAAGAGAAATTTCCCGCCTTTATCAAGAGATCAAAAATCACCCCAGAAGGTTCGAACATGGAACTTGCTTCTGATAAGTTGGCGTTCGCATGCCGCTTGGCGTTTTGGGTGTCTTGCTTTTGGGAGCCCACAAAAATTGGGGTTTCCCTTTTGGCTTCCCTGTTAAAACCACCAAAAAGGGGTACCCTAAAATCCTCAAAAAAGACACCCCCCCCATTTCAGCCGTTGTGGGAGAGGGGGGAGAGCATTTTGGCAACAACTTTCTCCTATCGGAGCATCCGATTTGAGTGGTCGGTTGATTCCCGAAATATATCGCGAGTCTCCCATGGACATTTTCGGCGAGTTACCAGGGCAGCGGTTGCATTTGGCTGGTTCACTTGTGGGACATCTTTGCAAAGCTGCAACACCAAGGTCGAGGTCTGGATTTGGAAACTGCGATCAAAAAAGAAGGCGACAGCAACTAGTAGGCTTAGTGAAGCGGTCACTTTCAAATACATATGATCTGGGTGAACCTGATGACGAAACCTGTTCAATAAGCTCAGGTGATATCCCCAACAGCATGCGGCACTCTTTCTAGTGCTCGCACCACCCCGCAGCCCTCGCAGAACCTCGTGGAACCCTCGTGGAACCCTGGTGGAACCTTGGTGGAACTTTCGTGGAACCCTCGTGGAACCTTGGTGGAACTTTCGTGGAACCCTCGTGGAACCTTACCTCAGGGCCGCCCCGGATCACCCCAGAGCCTATCTGGGCTGAGACCCCAAAGCATTCAGCTGTTGGGGAAAAACAAACCAAGGAGCAGCGGACAGGCTATATATATATATATATGTACATAGTGGGCCTCAGTTCAGTTGAAAACCAAAGCCAAGCACAACTACCAGAGCAACAAATCAGCCAGATCTACTCTTGGGACGTCCCCCAAAATAACCAACAGATCCCTAAACCGGGACCCCTCTTGACCGCCCCCGAAATGGCTGTGGCTCAAAAATACGTGCCCAAAATGGGTTGCCCTGGCAAATGGAAACATGGGCTCTCCATATCCTGGTGGTTTAATTTTGACCCACACCCAGGTGAGTCTCACCACCACCCCCTCCCTCTAACCTTCATCTAACCTTCATCTACCCGGGTTTTGATTGTGGCTCAAATGGGAGTCGATTTCTCTGGGTTGTTACGTCGCCGTTCGTGCCTGGCCCAGCGCCGCGCACGCGAGGCGCCGCACGGCGGCGTCGCCGTCGCCCAGCCGCGCCTCGAGGGGACCAAAGGAAGGAGAGGAACTCGGCCCCTAAGGCGATGTTCTCTCTGGTTCTTATTTATTTATTTATTTATTTATTTATTTATTTTATTGATTTATTGATTTATTGATTTATTGATTTATTTTTACTTGTTTGATGTATTTCTTGTTTTGGGGGGGGAGGGGGGTTGAGTTGGGTGGGGGCGGCAATGGAAGCAAAGGAAAGCGAGGAGCTCGGCGGGGCAAAGTGGGCTGAGAGCTGTCACAAAAAACCCAAGCGAGTCCAAGGGGGGCTGGCCGTCCATCTTTCCCTAATCATTGGAGGCCGATATTAGCTTTCTATGAACATCATGGTGGCGTTCATTTGTGAGGTCGCTGCAATTTACCGTCCGGCTGAGCTGTTCTGATGTGCTCGGCCAAGCGTATCTGAACGAAACAAAACGGTCAATCCAACTCATCGCTGACACTTCGATAGGTCTGTACTAACCTGCAAATCACCATGGAGACCAAGAAAAAAAATGTAAAGACATTGGTTTCTGAGAATCCATCTTCACCTGCAGGAGTGTATCTCCTCGTCCTTGTCCTTCTCTTGTATCCAATTCCCACAATGAACACCTAACATAGATGGTGTTGAGCATCACGAGTCATGTGCCCCGAACTGTTCCCGAGACCCTCAACCTTCAAGCAAGAAGCTGCCGTCTGAGAGCTTCCCAACCGCTATTGGCGGATGTCGTTCCCCCAAGCGCAGATGCTGTCTTCGCCAAACCGCGCGGAGAAAACTCAGAATGCACCCGCTTCAGACGAATGGGTGCGCCGTTATTGGCCTCCCGCCCCCAAAACAAATATGTATATAATATATATACATATATACATATATATATATATACACGGTGGTGTTCCTTTTAGTTTCCCTTTGGAAGCACCCAAACAAGGGTGCCCTCAAAACAGACACGCCAACTCATGGCGCAAACCTGAAAGCCGCAGATTTGCCGACCAAATCGATCGCGTAGCCAGGCTCCCAGGCGATCAACGCTGCTTGGGCCTCCTCGTCCCCCTTGCGCGCCACCTGAGTTGAATGAACACCAGGAAAAGGCGGGTCCGTCTCATGCGAAGGGACCCATTTAATGGGGATGGTGTTCCTTTGGCAAGGCGCCCTTCAACGCTTCAAACTAGACCTACCCTCCTGTCCACCAGCATGGACGTCTTCAGGGATCTCTGAGTCAGGTTCTTTGTTTTAGTGGACAGGAGGTAATGAAGGGTATCCCTCTGTTTCGAAACCTTCGGCGCCCATAGGATGCGGAACCTCCTTCCCTCCCTCGTGCACGCGAGCGCTGATGGAAAATGGGCGAAAACGGGTGGGTGTTTCTTTTGGTTTCCCATTCAAACATCCCCAAAACAAAAGTTCCCTCCAGAAGAGATACTCCCAAATGTACGTTGCAAAGTACCAGTGCATTGATTCAAACAAAAGCCACGGCCGCCTAAGGTTCTAGAGCCCTCCAGCTGCGACTACCGCGAGAAAGTGAGTGGGGAATTTCCTAGCGGAAGTGGTGAGGCTGGAGCGAAGTTACTGGCATAGAGAAGCAACTACGCGAATCCCTCGAAGGGCTCCAATTTCAATGCCAGGTAGGCTTAAACTTAGGGGTTGACCCCAGGGAATCTCGTTGGACAATCAAACAATGGGTATGTGTCCCGGTGGATCCTGAATTTATTGACCGTCTTTTAGTGCCCCTTGAAACCAACCCAAACAGCGTGTCAAAAAACACACCCAACATTCCATTGCTTTAGTCTCCTGGAAAAAACATGTGTCCAGTGAAAGATGTCCTTTAAACCCAATAGGAGAAAATAATACATATTCTTATAAACAAGTGGAAGCAAACGGGCTCGTCTTCTTGTGCCATCCACAGTGTGTATGTATGTATGTATGTCTGTATGTCTGTATGTCTGTATGTCTGTATCTGTATGTCTGTATGTCTGTATCTACGTATAAATATATACATATATATATATATATAGGTACATATTTTTGTTGGGCGGGGGTCCCTGAAAAGAGCCACACCCAGATGGACGTTTCCCGTGCCTGAGCCAGGCCGGTGCAGGCCGCTTGGCGGACGTAGCAGTTCTGGTCCTGGGACGGGTTCCATTTCAAGGCCTTTGATTTCTTGGGTTGGTTTCTTAACGGAACTCATCACCGGACATGTTCGGGCTCATACATTTTTTCTATCAGGCTAAAGCAAATGGAAGTTGGGTGGGTGTTTGGACCCACTGTTTTGGGTTGGTTTCTTCAGAAGAAAATGACCTAGCACAATTTGGGGGGGCTGGTTTCAAGGGTATGGTGAGGGAGGGTTGAGGAGGGTTGAGGAGGGGAGGGGAGGGGAGGGGAGGGGAGGAGGGGGGAGGAGGAGGGGAGGGGAGGGGGAGGGGAGGGGAGGGGAGGGGAGGGGAGGGGAGGGGAGGGGAGGGAGGGGAGGGGAGGGGAGGGGAGGGGAAAAAATTGTAAAAGTAGGGGGCCTGGGGGGTGGTCTGTTGATGGTCCCCTGTTATGTTTTTTATATTCATCTCAAACCTATTAACCACCTTATCCGTTTTTTAAAAGATTTTTAGGGAGCTTATATATCGTTTTCGTTAAGGTAATCACTTGGGTAAATTGTCGCCTTGTTCATTGTTGGGCTGGGGGCCGACATTTTTTCATTTGAAAGAGTTAACCCTTTTAGTAGTTATCAAGTTCTGGGGTGTTGGTGGTGTATTTGTTTTGTTAGTGTTTTTCTCACTAATTTTCATTTATAGGTTAAAAAGTTCAGTATAATTATAACATATAAGATGTTACATGTTATTATTATATGATGATTATAATTTTAGTTCGGAATAATAATTTAATTGACAAATCTTACTTAATTCATACATCATTTAAAAAATATTAATATCTCTCACTGTATTTTGAACATTAAACTTTTTACCTTCAATGAATATTTTGATATTTTCTTTAACATCTTCTCCTTTCTCTTGACTATAACCCAACATCCACAATATATCATAAATCATGTCATATTTTTCTTACTGATTTTAAGAAACTGTTTAACATAATCGTAAGGTGGTATTTTATTTACAGTTAGAAATATTAAAATCTCATCTTCTACATTTCTATTATGTATTCTTTTTATTCCCAACACACATTTGATTAATTCTTGATAATATCTCAAATTTCTACAAATTTTACATAAATCTTCATCCATTGAATAATTAATAATATTATTCACTATTTCATTAGGTAAATTCAATTTATACAATTCCATACTTTATTAATAATATTATTCACTATTTCAATAGGTAAATTCAATTTATACAATTCCATACTTTCTTTTTTGAAGTGACAACAATCATAGCATTTTTTATTGATATAATTATTGATTCCATCACCGTTCATTTTCCTCTTAATATATAAGGTATTTATTCTTTAAGTAGTTTCGGGCGGGGGTTGCCTCGTTGCCAGCTTTTGGAGAAGACTGTCCCCACGATTTGGGGGACACAGTCCCCACTCGCACCGTTTTGGGGGACAATGTCCCCACTCGCACCGTTTTGGGGGACGTTGTCCCCACAATTTGGGGGACACCGTCCCCACGATGAGGGGGACGACGCTAGCAGTGATGGGAATTGAAAATATTAACCTTTCAGTGCCTGACAAGATAGGGTTTCACATGTCGGTCTCAAACGAAGGGTCAAGAAGTGATGCATCCTTCCACCGAAGCCATGTTTTTTTTACTTTCTTCGTGTCATCCTCGCTTACCTCTACGAGACTGACTTCTACTAGGTTCGACGGCGGATGGGATGAACTATTGTGTTTGAAGCCTTTGTTGTTTTTCCTGTGTCCCTTCCCTAAAATAAACAAACAAATATATCACTAATCAACTCAGCGGGGATTTTGTATAACTCATCTTGTTTATGTTTGATGTATCCCTCACCCCAATCTGATTTCTTTCCCGATGGCAACCGTTGAGCAGTTTCTAAATGCTTCCCATTCCTCACCTTCCCACAATCCCCTTTGCATAATGGTCTGGGTTTCCATGTTTCAATGTTTGACCACAACCTCGTTCGCTTCCTGTAGTTCATGCCATATTTACAATAATCCACATCATAGTATTTCAAGCCACTCATAAAGGGTTGTTCCTTTAATAATCCTGTTTGAGGATTTTCCACAACCCACCACTTCGGTTTGAAGTAGTCAATGATTTCAAGGGTTTTCAAAACGATGCTGTTAGCATACTCAATCTTTCGGACGCCCGTCGTCTTCGCTCGGCTGTCTTCGGTACATGGAGGAGATGCCCACACAACATCAAACTCGCCCACATCAAACTCACGATAATCCCAACTCAAAATATCAGTATTGATATTTGCATTTTTCAAATCAAGGGAAATATCACTAAAACCCAAATCCCGAGCAACCCGACCAACCGAGCCTGTCCCTGAAAATAATTCTAATAATTTCATATGATTAGAACTATTTAGATAATTATTTTATGGAATAATGCCCATATGGTAATGAAGTGAAAGCATCAATATAAAACCTTTTATTTTCATAATTACTCAGACTTTGCTTTACTTGAGACATTGAAAATAATTGATGGTTGCGACTACGAATAAAATTATGTTATTTCATGCTTTTTGTTTTGAAATAATGCTTCGTGGTAGTTTTGGTAAGTCAGTTCTTTTTTCACTTTGTGTTTCACTACACCTTTTGATTTCTTATGTTCATCATCCTCACCGTGAATTGTGAAGGCATATGATTTAGGTTTTAATCCGATGAATTGAGTAATGATTTTTCCATTCACTTCGTCCTTAAACATTCCTAAGACCTTTTTATTAGTTTTGTCATGACATGGATGCTCAACAGGATAGTCGCTAAAATCCATGTGTTGCTTTATATCATTGAAATCCTTCTAGACATCATCAGTCATTGTTTGAACTACATAACTGTCAGTATCGGTATAAACCAGTTTTATGTTTTCATTATACTTCTTTTT